AAAAAAAAAAAAAAAAAAAAAAAAAAAAAAAAAAAAAAAAAAAAAAAAAAAAAAAAAAAAAAAAAAAAAAAAAAAAAAAAAAAAAAAAATGTATAAATATGCCCTAACAATGATCATGCTTGATCGAAATTCCCCACGAAAAGGTCGGATCGCAACCCTCTTTACTTTTCTGGACGCTGACTAGTAAAATAAAATTACGGCAAGAATGTTATGGAATCGCAGTCTAGACACAAGTTTTACTTTACTTTTTACTTTTTTGCTTTACCCCCCCNAAAAAAAAAAATTGTGTTCAGTCAAGTTTTTTCGATTCATCACGTCAAAAGCATGGATTTGATGGGGTTTTTTTTTTGGGGGGGGGGTGGAGGGACGCAATCTAATTTTGACAATTTGCGAGAATTGGCATTGAATCAACCTGACAAAAACGGACAGGCTCTATGTTTACATTACATGACTTCACTTCCAAAGTGTACAAAACAAAAACATAATATGCAAACCACCTCCTCGCTCTTTTTTCAGAGTTTCCACATCCACCAAGGTTGCCAGTTTTCATGAAGAATGTTAGATGTTTTACGTGGGTTTAAATAGAGATAAACGCTGATATTTTGGCACAATCTGGCAACATTGACCTTTAAACGACATGTACCGTGGACAACATAGTGCAGCGCAAGCATAACTCAATCTTCTTTAAAAGACTGCTCGAACGCATTCTTCAGGAACTATTAGTTGTAAAGAGAATAACGCCTGTTTTCCCGGCCGTATAATAATCCTGCGTCACGATTTGGAGCCCTGAAGAATGCGAGGAACGTCTGGGAACAGGAATAAATAAGCAAGGCTGATTATGTTCTCCAGAAAATCGTGCCGAATCAAATTACAGAAAGAAGGAAATTCTCAAACGACTCACGAAAACCGCAAATGCAGACGGAAAGAATTATATAGATCTTGTAAGAGAAGAATTATTGTGAGCAATTTCAGTGAGTTTTGAGGAATGGGATACGCAAAATAATTGACCAAATTCCAGACGAATGAAGCTGCAAAATCTGGACGACCTGGGGAGGGATGGCAAAAAGTGCAAGTAACACTGAGACTCGGTTAGATTCTATTGCGTTCGTACCCTCGAATAAACTTTTGGCCTTATAACTTTCAGCGTCCTTAAAAATATAGACCATTTCGAATGAAAAGTGAGGTTTTCGAATGAGTCAGAGAAAGAAAATTTCATACATTGTTATGCCTCTTGTCACGGAAAAAAAAGGAGTCGTCACAACCAGTGGCTGGTTAAAAATGCGCCAGCTACCGTGCGGTTGTTACGATAACTACCGCAGTAGAGGACACACCTAACCCGGTTGTAACAACCACTACCATGGTAATTTTCCCGGACTACTTTTCCCTCCTGAATTCAAAATTTTCGGATTCCTTAACTTTCCCTGACACTAATAAAACTTCCGCTTTGTTTGTTTCCCCTTTTAAATCACACTCGTTTCTGCTGAACGCACCTCGCAATATTCCCTGTGATTTCCCTGAACTTTCCTGGTCGCCGCAAATTCTCTGACGATCTCCGTTTTCCAGACCGCCGGCAACCCTGCTTTAATCAGGGTTGTCACAGAATTCAGAAAATAAAAGTCCCTGACACTTCCCTGATTTCCAGGACACATTTTGGCGAAATTCCCTGACAATTAAAGATGTGACGAATGGTTAAGAAGACATAATTGCAAATAGTTTTCAGGCAAAATTTGTTGTTCGAAACCTCAAACTCATTTTAGAAAGCAGAGGAAGGTGATTTTACAAATTTTCCCTGATATTTTCGTCATTTTCTCTGACATTTCCCGGTTTTCCCTAAAATTTCCCGGTTTTCCCTGACTGGCAACTCTGGTTTTCCAGACTACCGGCAACCCTGTTTTAATTCCTTTGTTGGGAGTTAATTTCAGTAATTTGCCAAATTGAGCTCTGCGTGAAATTCTGAAGCAAAAACACACTTGAGAATGCTGAAATTCGTACTTCACATGGTGGTACATTGAGATTAATCGACCAAGTTCCGATAATTTGACGTATATCTGCCAATCGAGACTACGCGTATTGAGTCATGAGCCGTGTTATGCATACATCTTTATGGGTCATCAGGGATCATCCCTTAGCGCATATAGCTCCGTCTGGTAGAAATACATCCAATTATCAATCCGTGGATCAAAGTGCAAGGTGAACCAATAAATCCGGCATCCAGGCCGATTTCCGACAATACAGGGCGGTCTGCTCTGGTTTCATTGAGTCACTTTATGGTTATTCATTTTAATAAGCAGTCTTGACTTTTAACCCCTCCCCCGCCCCTATTAACACACCCCTTGCGTGGGCAGCCCCCCCCCCCCCCCGTTCGAGGGACTGGCCGATGGTTCCGTCCCGCGGTGCGAGGTCTCCTTTGAGCCTGATTTATCGTTGCCTATTATGCGTCTGAGACTCCGAGTCTAGCGCGCCGAAATTAGCGTCATCGCTGCGACTGCTGTGAGTTAAGTTTTTTCATCCGCATTGTTTTCTCGGTAATTAAAATCCNGGGGGGGGGGGGGGCCTGCGCTGCGAGGTTGCCGTCAAGTCGCGGGAATTTTTCGGAAAATACGGACGATGACGGATTAATGATAAAGCATGGATGATGAATAAAGCTGGTAATTGACAAATTGACCAACGGAAACTCAAAGAGGCCTGCATTTAGTCCGTTATGTTTTCCCTAAGGGTAAAACAACGCCCCATTTTCACCCGATCGGATCACTTCATTTCCATCCGTCTTCTTTGTCTATAGCTTTCTCTATCGATTTGAATCATCAGTTCGCCGCGCTGCGCTGTTCTCGGGACTGGAGTCTACCACAAAAGCAACATTGAGTACGGATAGACACCTAGAATTTACCGAGATCATCATAGGGGAAATGATTTCTTTCCCTTCTCCGTACAATTAACGAACAACTTGGGAGCGAGGCACCAACGAGTTGTAGCGCCAAGATTTCCTTTTCGACGTCCGAAACGATTTGAGGAAAACAATGTATCGGCGTCTCCTCGGGTGATAGTTGACCGTTTCAGGTTTGATTAATAAGCTCTTATTATTTCGGCCGTTCTGAGGAGTGAGTGATGCGGCTTTTGTTCCCGCCAATCAGACGAGCCGCAGCAGGGGCGTGCCGTGCTCTGCGATACATCGATTGATCCACCATTTAAACCCATGGAGAAGGATCGATAAACAGGGTGTTCGCAACGAACATTTTAATAATCGATTCCTTGCCGCAGCTTCAAATGGGGAGAGTCGATAATTGATCATTCACTGAGCCGCAGCATTAACGATTCATGAAAGGGGTTCTCGCTTTGGAGCTACATTAGATCGGCGCGCAATTGCTGCCGGAGGATAGGAATAGATCGTGTTCGATACGTCAAACAGGTGAGATTGTATCGATATCGATTGGTTAACGCGTAAGCACAGCCTCAAAAGCCATTTTAGAAATCTGAGGGACAGGGTTGTTTGTGATGGATTTTTGATTCGTATGAGTACAAAATGACAATAAAAAGTGGAATTGTTAGGAACTTTCTCATTCAGCATTTCCAACTTAAATCCTAAAATCTTTGTTTGAGGGAATTTTCTATTGTTTTGAACCAAACGATATATCTACACTGGAAAAAAAACACATTGGATCTAGAGTCCAGACTTTTAAAAACCTCGACAAAAAAATTACTCTTGATTCAATCAGAATCTAGCTTAAATCAAGAACCAAGTCTCTTAATTTAAGCGGATTTTGTTTTGATTCAAGCAAAAATCCGATTGAATCAAGAGTATTTTTTCTTGTCAATGTTTTCAAGAGTCTGGACTCTAGATCCAATGTGTGTTTTTTTTTCTTCTTTTTTTCCAGTGTAACCGCTATCGAATACGATCCATAAAGAACCACGTCGGCTCGTGGGAAAAGTGCGCGTCTATCAAATTGAAACGGTTCTTCGACACGCAATTTTACCTCCTTAGGAGTCGAAGTAGTTGCATCATGCATTTCGTCCCATTCAACTGTTCTACTCTTGCGTTAAAGTCTCCGAATCACCCGAACTGACATTCCCCTTCATTTGGTAGATACGCAATTTTACTTCCTCTGAAGTCGAAATAGTTGTATCAAGCGTTTCGCCCCATCCAACATTTCTACTCCCGCGTTCAAGTCTCTGAGTCAGCGGAGAAGAGACCAAACTCTTTTTCATTGTTCCGGATATGTGCAGAAGTTTTGCTGTTTCATAATTGTGACGGGATTTGTAAAAAGAGACTTAATTTTTGGGAAGAAAATTTCTGAGACTTTGAACTCTGCGAAAAACGATCTCGGGAAGCGCCTGCAAAACTGTAGGAATACTTCACGCATCACGCCGTCTCCCTGCGCTGATCCTAAATTCCGTGATGCGTACACTACTTGGAAAAGCGCGGGGCAGCCTCCGTGCTCAACCTTGAAAGGAGTGCGCATAAATGAAGCGTATTTTGATCAAGACATTATACATTTTACATCAATTATTATTCATGCATGGTCGTAGGATACGCAATTTTTCCACTGCCACTAGAGTTCTTAGCCTTCAATAAACTATTTCATGGCAGAATTTTCTAAAAGAAATTGCTATGCTCATTAATTTCTGTCTTTGAAGCATGGGTACTTCGATCTCAGAGAAAATCCTCGAGGTTGAGGTCGCAAGTGAGGTAAAATAATGTTTCCTTCGTAAAATGTTGAAATTATTCCAATGAAAACTCTATTTTACTGGAACATATTTTCTTTTCAGGATTTAAACGTGGAAATATTATCAAAGAGTATTATAATAGGTTCATGGCTATTGGCTACTCCAAATCGGACCCAATATCAGGGTATATATGGGTTGCCAATCTTCTCTACATAATACGTCATCTTTGAAAGCTTGTGTCACAGTATTTTTACCGGAATAATGTGATCGTAATTTATATGTGAAATTTTAAGTAGCTTTTAAAAGTTTTCTGAATTTTTAATTTTTTTTTGTTTCAGGCCAGAGGATAACTACAATCCAACTAGAGGGCGTTCAGTACTTCGTGAGTCGAATGAACCCATACTCGCCAGAACTCAACTGGTTTTTGGCCTATCAATACTGCAGGTCGATAGGTCTGCAGCTGGCCTCTTTCGAGACGAAAGAAAAGGCAGACTATTTTATGGAGTACCTTAGGAATGCCGGTGAGTTCAGTTTACATTTTTACGTGTATAAGCTTCTTTTCTGGGCGACTAATTTATGCCTTGTAATTTCCTCTACTTCATAGGTTTCGGAGATTGAGGATATCTTTCTCAAATTCCAATGAAATAAATGAAAAAAAAAATCAGAAAACCTCATTCCAGAACTTGGTGAAATTTTAAAAAACTTTAAAACACTCACATGCGAGTCAAAATCCAATGAAACAGCATGACAAGAACTCTACATGACAAGCAATCGAATATTTTGAGTATGACTAGGAGGTCCTATCCCTCGGAGCCTTTTGCGCCTTGGGCATTATGCATTACGCATTACCTATATGCTTTCGTAATATAGAGAATGATTTAATGATCGCAGAATCTATCAATTGCTAAACTCTGAAACCATGTCCCTCGGGAGTGGTGCTTCGTGATTTGCGCGTATTTTATTTTTTCGAAAGTAAACGAATCAGATTTTACCTCAGTGTAAGAATCGATTTTCGATTCAAAGTCTGACTCAGTTTTTCGGATTTTTTGGTTAAAAATGTTGAGTACTACTTGCCAGTCAATCGATCATCAATCGTTTTCTCGATATGTATTTACACAGAATTGGGTGCATCATATTCCAATTAAAGCTGGGTCTAAAGCTTCATCAGATGATTCAAATCAATAAATGAGGCCTTACCCGATGATTCATGCAAACTGCTGTGCAAAGGAAAAACGAGAACATTCGAGAGTTGCCAAATTGTTTCAAATAAGATGTTTATTTTCAAGGAGAATTATGTATTATTTCTCTTGAAATCGGAAAATTTAGATCTGATTGCGAATGAAACTCTTTGATAAATTGAAAGGAAAATGGTCAAAAAACTTTCTGAAAACTCTTTGTTATCGAAAAAAATTTGGCAACGTCCGAAGGTTTATGTGGCGTTTGTTTTTAGCACGGTAGAAAAAGTAGTTAAAATGACGCCACACACCTCAACTGCATCATCGGTCGAGAGCTACTTGAAAAGCTACGACTCAGATAATATCTTTAGCAAGTCAAAATTGTTCAAGCTGTCAGTTCCTGTCATGATAAATGCACACTTATCTCGATACTTCCGCGAAACAGGAGAAATTGTGTACACTAATCAAGAGCTCGATTGGTCCAAATGGCCGCTTTTAAAAATGCACATGTCCATTTTCACTTGGTCCCTACTTTTCATGTATTTTCAGACACTTCAAGGCTCACATAAAATTGATTGGTTACTTTTCTTAAAACAACGGAAGTGATGGACACAAGCTTCGACCACTTGTAGAATTCAGTTTGTAAATCCAAATCGTATTTCTTTAAAGAGCCTTGGACAACGATTAGAGACATACTCAACTGGGCTCATGGAAAAAAGTACCTTGATTCATTTTTTTCGTGCTGACAATGTTACGAAAATACACTCAATAATTCCGCGAAACAGTCCAAACAATGTACGATCAACGAGTGCTTGATTAACTGTGATGATTGAAACAAGTATCAACCACTTCTAAAAAATTGGAGCGGAAAGAGTCTATTCATATTTCAACGTGAGTCCTAAATCGCGACTGAGTACATCCTGAATAAGGCTCATGAGAAATATAGCATGGATTTGTTCTTAAAAATTAGTGTCTGTTATGACAATAGCCAGCTATTTTAGTTCCAATAGAGAACTTTCAAACGTTTTTTCCTCTAACAGATCCTGCTTAAAATTTTTGAAAATTTAACACTCTTTAAGCGCATGTCGAGGCATCCGTGGCGCTAATCTCCCTTCAATTTTTGCGAGAAAATTACCCAGTTTTATGCATTTTAAGGTTAAAATACTTTCAAATTGTTGCATTCATTGGGTTCTTCTGTTTATTTTCTCACCGATAACCACTCTTTTGTGTAAAAATTGCGAAAAAATGTTTTAAAAAATGCCAGAATCATTGTTTTTTGTTAGGAAAAGCCCATACAAAGTAAAATATAATACAAAAAGCAAGACGTAACTACGAGTGATTACACATTTTTTAACTAATAAAACATAGAGGTATGAATTTGAAAAAAATAGATTGCATCCAGATTTTGTAGAGCAATTCGACTGAATAATGATCAAAGAAGAAAAAACTAACTGTTCGAGCGCGGGATTTTAAGGAAGAGTTATGTGCATCAAAGAAGGTGTTTTTGCAACATCCAGACTTTCTGGGGGGGGGGGCAGATGATACTATTGCCAATTCTGGGGGGCAGCCCGCCCCCTTCGTACGCCTCTGCGTGGCTCCTCCTGCTTACACATGAGCCCCAGGAAGCACAGAGCTATACAGGGCAGAGGGCCAAATCTAATGAATATGATGTGAAAATATTGAATTTTTTGGGTTATAGGTTACAGCAAATACGACTTCTGGACGTCGGGTAACCGGCTCGGGACAGACATGTTCCTGTGGATGTCGACGGGGCTCCCGTTCAACGTGACGTTCAACTACATGAAGGGCGACCAGGATTCGGATCCCCTCAGCACCTCACTCACGCACGGCCCACAGCCAATCACCAGGAAGAAGAGGTAACACAACTTCATACTCGTCAACTTCTTTTAATAACATAACCACAGGCAATGCAGCCTGTAAGCATCAGAAACTTAGTTCCAGCGAGTCACTTCAGCCTTATTCCAACAACGCGATGACGCTGCTCATGACGGCAGTGGAACCATGAGATGACGTCTTCAACGATTCAAACATGGCCAAACAATTTTTAGTCCAAAATTGTGATCAAGAAGAAAAATGCACAAGTGCAAATATACCCCGGTCGACGTCATCAACGGGTGTTATTATAGTACAGCTCTGTCGTCCTAAAGAAGAACGCAGCATTCCCTTTGCCAGATTTATCTCGATGAAAATCGAATATCCTGGTGAGCTGATGAATATTTTTCTTCCGATTTTTCAGGATTTTCTTTTCGTAATTACCTGGAATTCCTAAAAATTTCGAAGAAAAATATTTATAACTTTCCTTCAAAATAATTTACCGGAGAAAATTAGGCAGTTCTCGAATGATTATACGACATTTGTCCTCAGCACGACAGAGCTGTTTCCAGCTGCTGTCAGGCGCAGTTGAATCTGTTGCTGTTAAACGTCGCTTTAAAAATTCAAGGAGCCTCCCTCTCTTCCCCCCGAGGTAGAAAAATACGTAGTCCTACATCAAAAAAAGGGGGGGCAAAGGGGAAAAAAGGAAAAAAAGGAAAATAGGTAGTAGTAGTAGTAGTAAAATAATTTTATTTTAAAGCGGTGCTTTAGCATCTAAGGCCATTTACACCTCTAAGAAAAAAAGAAAGAATGAAAGAAAGAAAGAAAAAAGAAAAATAAAAAAGAGGAATAAGAAACATTAAAAAAAGACAAAAAGGAAAAAAGAGAAAAAAAAGAGAAAAAAAAGAGAAAAAGGGGAAGAAAAAGAAAGAAAAGAAAAATGGGGGAGAGGGGAGAGAGAAAGAGAGAGAGAGAAAAGAGGGAACTCATCTGTTTGAAAATTTTCGTTTCAGGGGCGACAGCGGAGCAAGCAACGGTTGCGTAGCGATGAAAAAGCCGGAACTTGAGTGGGACACGGACGACTGCACCGCGGTGAAGGACTTCATCTGCGAGCAGACGCGCTGCTACTACTACAACTACGGCTCAATCCCGGTCTCCACAGCTCAGGGGTAAGCAGGTGAGCTCAACGCTGCAAGCATGCAAACACATCTTATCCACCACCCCTGCCCTCAGTGGTGTAGCCAGAAATTCCCAATGGGGGAGTTCAAGAATAAAAAAATTCCTAAAAACCAGGGAAAATAGCTTCTGGAGATGATTTTCTGATCATGAGGTACACCCCTAACCCCAACGGTGTGGCCGGATATTTACGATGGGGTGAGGGGGGGGGGATTCAAGGATGGAAAATTCCTTAAAATCATGGAAGATAGCTTAATGGAGATAATTACACAGGGGTACAGTACATTTCAATGTTGCAGAATTCCCTCTCGCAAATGGCAGATATACGTACTGGGAGAATTTTGGGCATTTCTAAATGAAAATTTTCTTGGTTTTTCTGATGACGCCATGTGAAAATCAGAAAAATCTTAGGGAAAAATTGTACAGGTAAAGCTTTGTACAAAATTGAATTTTTTTAGTTAAATTAGCAACCTTGGAATGGGATTAGGTTTCTTTCTCCGGAAAACGAGAACTTTTCTGATTATGGGGGTACAAACTCCTTTTCCTCTCACTGCCCTGGCTGCGCCACTGTCTCCCTCCCTCCAGCCCAGCCCCAAAAATTAGAAAAAATCCATAAAAGGATTTATCAGAAAGTGCGCGTTGAGAAGCCCACTATTCACAAAGTTTTGTGTTCCGTCGCGTAAGGAAATATTTTAACTGTGCCCAAATTTGCTGGCTCCTTTTATCTGGACGTCTTTCAATCTTATATTTTGGCAATAGCGAAAACTCCATCGAAATCACGTTCAGCAAAATTTGATCAATATCAAACGAAAAAATGGTAGAGCTTAATGCTAACGGTGCAGAACTTCAGACGCGCAGATCCACAGAGCATCCATTTACAGACATAATACAACATTCCAAAACATAAATTTAGGAAATTCGCCCCCAGAACATCGCAATTCTGAGCTGTAGTTGATGAGTTTTTAGTATCAGCGTTGCTATCAAAATCTCGGGCCTCTGTTCAGTACACAGCTTAACATAGCGGTTCTTTCGAGGATACCGAGTTACACTATCATGACGGAAACCTGCAAACCTTTCTAAAGCCATCCTTAAAATGTTGTTCATGAAAAATTATAATAGTCCCAAAAACCCGTAGAGATATACATTTCCCCCACAAAATCTTGCAGCTGACGCTTTTCAGCTTATGTTTTGAGGTACAAGGTGTATATTTCTTGGTTTTCACTATCGATCACTTTGATTAACTTTTGGTGGGATCAGAACCATGGAGTCTTAATGACATTCAAACGTTGCGAAGTTTCACTTTGATTTTTTTTATTAAACAAAGCCGGTTCAAGATGTATTAACTTTGTTTGTGAATATTCTTCCAAAATCCTTTTCGGAATTTCTTTGTGATTTGCCAAAAAGTCTCCAGAATTTTAAATGCAAAACCTATTAATGACTATGACTATGATTTCGGGTGAAACTTCACAACGTTGCGATTCAATAAATTTCTTTTGGCGCTGGTCCCTTTTTTTATTTTTACGAATACAGCTTTGTTGAAAGGAGCTTTGGAAATCTGCTTTGAGCTGGTGTAGTACATGCTTTTTGAAAAAATTGGACTTCATTAAGCAGATATGGAGCATCTTTTTCTGGCTCATTCATGGGAACATCTATCTACATATGGAAACCGATGACACATATGTTGTTTTTAAAATGAGTCGGCAGTATTGGTTCTTTATGGCAAAACGCAGTTCAATTAAAGCTCCGTTTACATACGTAAATGATGCCGATTTTGTCCTGAACGTAGATATACACTACAAAAAAAAGGAAGTTGATTTAACTTTCTGGATGTAAAAAAAGTGTGCGAGAACTTACAAAATGTTGAATTAACTCCTACAGCAGTAATTTTAGCAGTGTCAAGATGTAAAACTAACTGCCATGTCGTAGCAGGTAATTTAGGATTTTGTGAGTTCTCGCACACTTTTCTACATCCAGAATGTTAAAACAACTACACTTTTTTTCGGTGTATTGAAAAATTGCTTCCGTAGTATTTTACAATGAATCGTAAAAAATCAAATACTTGAGACAGTAGCCTTACATTTAGATGTAAAAAGACGATAGAGTTTTTTTATTGCATTTAAAGAGGATGTTGGATTAATAAATGCTAACGTCAATTTTCCATTAGTATTTTTTTAGATTTTACTTCACGTCTCACTTTCTGAGCTAAGAAAAAATCGACTAAGCGTCTCAAAACCGTTGGTGATTTACACTCACCATGAAATGATTTTAGAAATTTTCGGAAGAAATAAGATTGAATAGTCTATTATTTGTCGGTACAGAAATAAGCCGAAAAAATTGGTTACTTTCTGCTAAATAAACTTAATTTTGCAATAGAGAGGTATAATTTCTAGCTCGTTTTGTGAACATTTGTGTCATTACTTTCTTCGTGCAGGATAGAGAATTTGCACAGAAAAATGTACCGCTGCATTTGAGAGTGCTTGATGAGCTGCGTTCGCAGTATTTTTCATGATTATTTTCTGATATGAAAAATGTAGAAAATAAATTAAAACCTGAAAAAATCTACCGCCTCTCGACGTCACTAGGTGGCATTTCTCATAAAAACAAACGTGTCTCAGTAGATTAGGTCATTTGGTTTTATTTCCTTTAAAAATTGTTCACTGGAAAAAAATCTCGTGGATCCAGAGTCCAGACTCTTAGAAAATTTGAAAATAAAAAATACTGTCAATTCAATCGGATTTTTGCTTGAATCAAAAGTAAATCTGCTAAAATTTAGAGACTTGCCTCTCGATTCAAGCGAAAATCCGGTTGAATCAAGAGTATTTTTCTTGTCAAATATTTTGAGGGTCTCTGAAATCCAACTCTGAATCCAAGAGCCTTTTTTCTAGATTCATTTTATAAACTATTGATATTCTCATATTCAATTCACTCAGAAGTTTCACATTAAACATGAAATTTCACAAAATTTTATACACCCACAAAGTCTCCATTTTAGACAGGTGCTTTTATCTTTACGCCAGAAGTATCAGTCCTCTACTGCAAATTGCAGTTGGAATGACGGTAGTTTTATGCAAGACCAGGGAATAATGACGATAAATAATAACAAGATAGTTAAAGCCAAATAACTGTATTTTTTATATAAAAATGAACCAATGTTACGTTTTACCTGAAGCTTTTCGATTACAGAGGATCATCCTCACCAACCATAGTCGTAGACCCTCACCAAAAATTTGTGATACTTTATATTAATTCTTTATTATTAGTTTATTTTGTTTCTATCAACCCTGTACACTTCACCACAACATTGTATTTGCAATATTTGGACCGCGTTTAACAGAAAGGAACCAAGCCACATCAGCTTTTGCCAAAATTAACTGAATAATTTAATTTTTTACGAGAGAACGTTTGTACGGATTCCTTTGAAAATTGTGAGGAATTTGCTTCGTAGTATGGAGAAAATTCACTGAAATTGGCAAGAAAATCGACTCAACCGTTTTCATGTAAAAAAATAAAATTGCACAGTTAAATTTGGTAACAGCTGATGTGGCTTGGTTCCTTTCTGTTTAACGCGGTCCATTTATACCTTTGAGGGTGATATTCTGGGATCAAAAAGCTTCAGGTAAAATATAACACTGGTTCATTTCTATATAAAAAATGCAGTTATTTGGCATCTTGTTATTATTTTCCTCGTTATATTAACTGCTAACTGCAACTTGTTCAATAATGACGGTGCGTTCTGTTTGCAGCCGGAGCCAAAAAATGCGAAAATCCAGCGTGCCACCATTCTCATCCTCATCATACGCCTCCTCGGCAGCGACAGGGACGACGCCCCCCTACTCCACCCCCCGCAAGACCCCCGTGACGACCCCCCGCCGGGAGTTCATCTCCTCGACCTCCTCGGAGGCCTCCTCCACGACCGAGCAGGAGGAACACACCGCACGGGTCCAGCCACAGGTACAACACGAGGAGCACGCCGTCCGCATCCAAGAGGACCCCAAACAACAACAGGTACAACACGAGGAACCGCAAGTCTCCAACGAGGCGGAGGCCCACGCTTCGGAGATACAGCACGAGGAAGTACAACACGTGCCCAAGGTGCACGAGGAGAACCAGGAGGACTACCACTACACGACGTCGGAATCGGGCGAGGAGTACAACACGAACGCCGAGCCGGAGCAGACGACCCCCGGCGTCTCCGAGGAGACGAACGAGCTGCAGATCATCCGGGATTCCTCCCGAGGGATGACGCACGATATGGGGGAGGCCTTCCCGTGGCCGTGGGCCAGGAACATCATGCTCGAGAAACCCAAGCCCAGGACCCTCTCCCCGGAGCTCGAAAAGTGAGATCCCCTTCATGATGACGCCGGCAACTAGGACCATAGAATAAATAGACAGCGTCAAAAGAAGCGATAGCCACCGTCATTCTTATGACATCGAAACGAAACTGAGTCAGTAAGTGCTCTTTGAGTCTTCGACATGTCAACTTTCTGCAGAGGCCGAATGATAACGAATACAGACGTTTTTAGGAATTAAAGGAGATTTGTTTACACTTATTTACCTTTAACTCGAGGAATCACTGTATAGTTGCTGAAAATTTTAGATTTCTTTCCAATGTTTCTTGTAGGTTAACCTCAAATCAGGTTTCGATAGGTACCGACCCTGGGTAGAAAAATGTTGACATTGGCTCTTACGGAGCTTTCGCTTCTGTTGGCGTTGTCTACGTATTCTATGCTAGGACACTCGGCTCGTGTTAGTGCGGTAGTGATGGAATATGTTGCGTTCAAACCAAAGAGAGGGTATGCAGTAGAGGGAAAAGCTCCGTCATCTCATCCGTGCTCCAAGGTCTCTTCCCAACCTCAGCGTGAGAAAAAAAAAGGTACTTCCTAAAAAAAATGGTTCAAAAATCACGAAAAGCGCATGGGGAAAGTCTGCATGGGTTTCACTCCTAACTTAACGATCTGACTAAGAAATGAACGTCTTTATAAGCTTCCCGCTTCAAATAAGATAAAAAGGCACAGGTGAACATTTTGTAAGAGGTGGCGTTCCATCCAACCCTTGCGCACGAGGGTGCTGCGCAATATTCAACATGGCTGACGCAAACCCGCCAAAACGCAAGTGACGAGACGGGATTGTATCAATAGGCGTGATTAAATTTTCATTTTCCTTGCCTTGATAAAGACCTTGGTGCTTCCTTGCGATGTATGCGTGGAAGCATCAGCCATGTTGAATATTGTGTAGCATCCTAGTGCGGCAAAGGTTGTGCGGAACGACTCCTCTTACAAAATGTTCATCTGTGCCGTGGTATCGTTTTTGAAGCGGGAAGCTTAAAAAATGCGTATTCCTTGCGCACATTGTGAAAATAGGAAGGTATTTCAGACTTTCCTGATGCACTCAAAGTGATTTTTCAGCCACATTCCTTACGAAGCACTTCTTATTTGTGGGCTAGCCGAAGTTTGCAATAGGCTCATTCCGAGTTCGTGCGCTAATAATGGTGTCGAGCTAAGTAAAAACGCAGTATTAATGCTTGAATGTTCTTCTGACGTTTTTCCTTCGTAACTCACGAGAGACTGTGAGCATGGTTTTTGTGATGGAATTTTTTCCAGTGAGGACTTAGAGGTCTTCGCATTTCATTTATCATGTCTCAAATTTTGGAAAAAAAATATTCAAAACGTTCGGCAAAAAGAGGCCCAAAATCAATTTTCTCTTGGAATTTTTTTAAATGATAACAAAAGAGGGTTTATTTTCCTAATGGTTGTGTTTGTATCTGTTGTGCTTCAACTGCCTTAGAGTTATAGTCTATAATCTATATCCATGACAAAAATGCATTTGGATGCAAGTGCAGTACATGATGAATGGAACTTTTGATTGTCCCCCCATTCGAGATAATTTCTTTTAAAATGAATAATGATTAAGAAACAGAAGAGAGATGAAGACGAAATCAAAGCTACATCCCTTCGAATCCTGACATAATGACTCTGAAAACATTGTATTTGTGTGACTGATGTGGTCAGTGCCTCCTTCTGGGTAGGGTGAGAGGCTGTGCAAACCTGTCGCTTGAAAAACTGTAAATTAGCCTTTCTTTTACTTTATTTTCTACTTTCAATTTGATGTAAATATCTAGATTCAGAATCACCTTTAGAATGAGATCGTAGTGCTTAGGATGGTAGAATTTGGATTCTACAAGAATAATAACAAGGCTTTACAGAAGCATCAAAATTCCGGAGATTTCAAACCTACATCTGGTATGAGATCATCACAATTGATGTAAACATCTCAAAATTAAGTTTCGATCGAAATCAAATCAATCCAGTTAATATTCATACTAAATAATTGGATAAGTTGCAACAACACAAACTAGTGATTAAAGTGCCTTCGAGTCATTATGATGTGAGTGCATGGAAAAGCTCTTGAGAATAATCATTATTAAGAGCTTGCTTTTGACATAATCGAGATGAAAATACTTCAAGAGGACTTAGATCATTCATTACTACAAAACTTTCACAATTTCTGAAAAGAGGCTATGAGATGAAAATATTAGATCGCCAACCTCAGGAAAGCGACTTTACATTTAATTTCACTCATGGCTTCCCAACCTCATTGTCACATTTATGTATTACTTTTGACGATTCAGCTACAATCCAAATGCAATCATCCTAAAAGACACTTTCTCTAAAATGACGCAAACGCAGCATTGTCGAAAGATACTTCAGAAATTATGAAATCAGCTTTATTAAAAAAAATAGCGGAGATAACGAGAGAAACCATTATTTAGTTGAAAATTAAGAATACACATGAGTTTTTTTTTTGTTTTTTTTTTTTTTTTTTTTTTTTTTTTTTTTTTTTGTTTTTTTTTTTCGAAAAAGAGCCAATTTTGAGGCACGAATTTCAGCGTAAGAATGAGGGATGAGATACTTGGCTTGGGATGATGGCAATCCTTTTCTCGTTACCTTCGCTGTTGGAGTACAAAACTATGAGAGGCACACGTTAAATTACGACTACTTCATTCAAGTTTTGAACTTTGAAATTCAGATTGAGACCCAAGCGAAATACTTCCGTAGAATAAAGTTTAAAAGAAATCAAATAAATTGATGGTACTCCACTTGAGTTCAAATTAAGGGATGAAAATTCCTCAAATCTCTCAGGTGCGTCAAGGAATTTTTGATACGAAATTGAAATTTTCCGATTTCGAAGATAAAAAATATATAAAAACGAGTTAAAGGCCGGATTTGGTCAATTAGCGCGGTCAATTCATCATAATGGAGCTTCGTCGTCATTGATGGAATTTTAGCTCAAACATGCAAAAATGCCGTATTTCCACCAAAAAAAAAAAATAAAAAATAAAAAAATAAAAAAAATGAAATTTTAGAACTAGTTAATGAACACCTGAAATCAACTGTAAATTATTGTTGTATCAAAAGCTCCTTGTCAACCTTGATGGGAAGCTGCAATGATCTGACTAACGATTTAATGTTGCAGCACATTTTCTACTTTTTACGAAAATTATTTCATGTAACTAAAATTGAGGTGCGATTGGTGCTCAGTTCAAATATTGTCTGTTGAGTTAAACAAATCATTTGCATATCGAACCTGTTGAGAGATTCAACGCAAGAAGACTGATTTTATGAAGACACTTCTAATTTAAAATAAAATAAAAAAGAAAATATCGTTACCAATTTTATAATGACTTGGACAAAAATTATCTGGATGATAAGTGATTTACAAATTTAAGTGCAATCAACAGTATGTCATTTAAGTGAGTTAGAATTAATTATTTTTTATCAAGTGTATTAGTAATAATGATAGTTCATTTTAACTTTCTGAAAGGTTCCCTTCTTGATGAGTTAGTTGGTAAGGGTATTATTGAAGAGACCAAGAAAAAATTTATACCAGCTGTGTTTCTTTACTTTTTATAATAAAAAGGAGGGAAAAACTAATAGCGCTGGTAAGCAGGTTAAATTCATTGACAGATCCCTGAATATATAGTTTCAACGAGAATTACAGCAAAATTGCAACTAATACTTATGAAACGGAAAATCAAGCAATAAAAACTCACATCAACAGGCAAAATTTGAAAAATGGCAGTTTTCTGTAAGTATCCGAAGAGAAAAAAGGTAACCTCCGTAAAGTAGGGCAATGAAAAAGTACGAAATAAAAATACACAGGTGTATCACAGATAAATTTATTTTTTCTTATTCTAGATTATAAGGTAATAGACACAGGTCTGTGGCTTTATTTTTTCGCACCACGTCAGAGATTACCTAAAAAAATATTTCACAGAATTAGAGCTTGACGGCTCCAAAGGGTACTTATAGAACTCTGACCAAACGAGCATCGGTCTACAGTGTTTAAATGTAGACATTTTTTAGACTTGTAAATACCTTCCAATCAATCTACACTCGTGGTTCAGCTGTTATACAGCGCTAGTTTTAGGATACTGTAATATTAGAATTATGGTTAAAATGTGTACTTAGGAGTATCTTTAATTTATTCACTTTTCAATGCAAATAAACTTTAAGTTTTGTAAAAAATGAAAGAAATAGAACTTATTTTTAAAGATATGAGTTGGTCGCTTAAATTACTACAGAGTTAAATAACTTATTTCGGAGCCGGATTTTAGCAGCGTGACGTGGTGGATTTTTTCGGAACTACAGCTGAAGATTCACCTTAAAGGGACTGGGGGCGATTTTAACAGCTCACAGTGAGACGCAACAAACTCAAACTCTGCGACTGCTTATGACTTGACATTGTGGTAAAAACACTTCCTCAACGCATCAGTATAGGAGCACTTGAAAATCGGCGTGTAATTGAAACTGGCCATACATTTATTGACAATACACGATGACAAATCTAACTGCGCAGCTCAGCAAAACATGATGAAATCTTATATTGGAATCCATTTTACGATGAGCAACCGCTAGTTCTAGCTCATCCATGAGATAATCTATCTTGAACAGCGCTCTAAAATGGCACATGGTGCTTCTTCTAAAATGATCCAGAAAAAGAAATTGCTCATTACAATCTGAAGATCGATGATTCTTTCGACAGTAAAACCATAATGCGCCGATATGTCGATATCAATGAAGATTTCGCCTCAACACAATAGTTATTGAGTCGTCAGATAAATTTTTCGGTTTCTGATGATTCAATGTGTATTATTTTAAAGAAAAAAATTACCATTTGAAACGTTTTACATGTATGTGACCTTGCCTACATTAAAACAGGTAAAATTTTAAAATGGACCACTGGGCAGGTTAAGAATTAAAGCATTACTAGCAAATTATGTTTTCTCATCCAAATTCCACACAAAATTCGTTGAACATCCTCATGAAATGCAAGATCATTTCATAAATGATAACCCCATATTCACATTTTGCATTAGATTCGGTTCATTCAAACTTCCCGTTTGCGAAAAAACTAAAATAAAAGTAAATAAAAATAAAATCAGCCATCGAAAACCACCTCATCTTCTTCCAAAGTTTTAATGTTGGATTTTACAAAAATTCCTCACCTCTACTGATGAACGGTATTTATTATTTTTTCAAGAGATGTTTAGCACATAAAAGAAACATATTTTACAGTAAAGAACACTGCCATTATTCTAAGGGACGGGTAGGATTACAAGTAGACCTAAGCTTTTTCAAGCGGGAAATTCAAATTGATGAACACAGAGAACGCTGATTTTTCATTTTTCAAGGTAAATTTTGAGTTTCATCACATTTCCACAGTTAGCTGAGTATTGAAATTGATAGATAAAGCGATCGATAAAGGAGACAAAGAGAAAACAAAGCGATTCTATTAGTGGGAGCGGGAGGTTGCAATAGTCAAAGGAGTAAAGTGATGGACTAATTTGACGGCAACCCACGAAAGACCCTTTATTTTAGTTTAGGAGGTCCATCGTTTTCCCCCTTAGTCTACGATTTCCAGCTTTTTCAAACAATATTGTTGCTCCATTTTCCCTTTGCCCTTTTTTGCCTAAAGTCTTGTCTATAGATTTCAAGGTTAATGATATTCTTACAGTGCACTATATAATGCTACGGGTTAATAAGTTCGCAGCGTCGTACGTGAAATTTTGAGGCTAAATCATGGGAATGTCACATCACCATTAAGCTAGCTGTTGTCTAACAGTATTTTGCACATGCACAACAACTACTATAAACTCACGTAAAACGATGAAATAAGACCAGAAACTCACCTGAAACAATAAAAAAATTGAATGATTATAAAACAGGAAAAACCGTGAGGCATGGGCACACAACCACAACAAAAACATTAAAACGCACATAAAAAGGGGAAACAATTAAAAAAATTAAAAAGCCTCTGTGATAATCTGACTTTTTGTTATCGCGAAATAGGGTCGAGGTATTTTGGTTTTTATAATTTTTTATTTGTTTTTGTTTCCTGAACGAGGATTGGGTTGAACAACCCCTAAAAGTCCCAGGTTTCATGTTTCGCTATTTGTCTAGCTTTGGTTGCCCTTTCCTGTGGTTTCCAGTTTAGGTACGATGTTAAGATGGATCAATGTAGATTTCAAAATTGCTTTAAAATCTAAAGTGAATTGGGGTGAAAATATTTTGGAAATCACTCACAGCAAAGATAATTTGAGACGACAAGGAGATCACTGGAAGCGTAAAATCTTCTCATCCCGAAGGCGCCATATAGAGAGAATATCCATTTCAACAGTATGAATTAAGACTTCAAACGGATGTATTTATGACAAAAAATAACCTAACTGTATTACACGTTGCCTGATTTCCTCTCGTTGTTTTAGTTTTTGCGGTTAAACACTAAACAACATTACACCTTGAAATTTTGTAACTTTCACCTGGGTCAAAAAAATATATCAACACAATTTTGGGTAAAAAATTGCTCAGATTTTGTATAAAAACAAAGCAAGGGGAACGTTACACTATGTCTCAAGGTGAAAAACTCGTATGAGTCTTCGAAGGTTTCCAATCCGCCGTGGATAAAATATGAACTTTCAGGGAAATCTGAGAATACTTTTCCTCCAATTTTTCAGAGAATAGTATTTGCGATCAGATCTAAATCATCTGAATATTTCAAGAGAAAATATTCATAACACTCCTCAAAAATAGGCATTTAATTGGAGGAAATGAGGAAACTGTGGACTGTTCATACGGCGCACCGTAGATCGAATCAATAAAAGAGGTTGGACAAAATTTGGAAACTTTAAACGCTTATAACTCCGTTTATACAAAACTTTGAGGTTCTAAAAGTGGTTCCAATGGTTTCCTCGTGAAAGTTTCTTTCAAAAGCACCCCTTGAAATTTAAAATGAGACGGAATAGACATCAAAATTTGCAGTTTTAGTCAAAAATTGCATGTTCGATCTCTTCAATCGACTCGATCCACCGTGCGGCGTTTCTTCTTAACACGGCAGATGATGCAGTTAGTCTGATTCTGGTCGATGACGTCGAAAAATCCTGACAAAATCACTCAAAAAATGTAACTTAGAAACTAGGTTTTTGATTGAAATCACTCAGGTCTTTTAGTACAAAAACCAAAATTCACGAGGTGAGTTAAAAGCTATTTTGCTGGGACGCGTCGCAGTTTCACCGTCACATTCCCCGGAACTCTTGAAGTCAGATTACGCTTCTTAATTTCGACTTGCATCACTTATTACCGATCTCAAAACGGACTATGAATACGCAGAGAAGTGATTCATGCCATCGAACGATCGAGTAGTGTAAAAACATACAAATGTTGTGTCATCCACTCATGTTACATCGAAGATTTTTTCTTCCGTGACATACCGATAAGTCCACCTTAGTGCAATTATGGTGCCTGATTTCCTCTAATGCTTTACTTTCCTGCCAAAAAACTGCTCAACTTCAGACTTGACATTTTGGGATGTAAAAGATGAAATCTATACAGTATTATCCTAAGGAAAAAAGCTGTTTAAAGAGCGGCTACAAGTACGATCCCCTTAAATAATTTATTTTCATTCTAAAGAAAAACACTTAGTTTCGAGAAAATTTCACAAAAAAAAAAAAAAAATTCATAAATTTGCCGGCAAGACATATTTTTTCTTGAATTAAGTATGATGCTGCTTAATTTAAGCTACTTTTTTGCTTAAACAAGCAATTTGTTCTTGCTCCCAGAGAAATTCAGCTTATTTCAAGACAATAAATTCAAGAATCGTAATGCCTTTTTTGCAGCGTATTCTCAAATCGCACCACAAGAGGTAATAAAAAAAGAATGTTCCATTAATGGGGGTCTTCCTGTAAAAAAAAGATATTAAAAGAAAGAATCTGTATACAACTTATAAAACGATATCTGATGACTTATTAAAAAACGAACAGATTTGATTTCGACAAGATGTACATCAAACCGTACTAAAGAAAGGGGATTTTAAGTGACACCTCACGCTGCACTTTCGAGAAAGTTCCAAAGTGAATTTTGCAAAACGGCAAGTCTGGCCACCGAGAGGCTTCTTATCGTATGATAAGAAACCTTTTGACAGAAATCATACGATATTACATACGCAAGAAATGTCGTGGATCGATTAGATCTATTTCTGATGCGTTCGCGTGAATCAGAGCACTCAAGGCTTTGTGATTCCAAATGCTTCCGGAAGCATCTTTACAAAAAAGCACTCTTAAAGTGCTGGACTTTCAATTTTCTGAAGGGTTCTGGGAAATAATTAACTACCACTCTTAACAAATTAATTGTGAAAAAGTGATGCTGATTTCAGTATAAAGTCACTGAAACTTTCACGGTACAGTCACTTGGGATTTACAGTAGCATCTGTGCGATACACTAAGACTACGAAACTCTTACCTCAAACAAGCCTACCAACCCGCAAATCAAAGGTAAGTTACTTAACTTCACTTCCAAGTCTGACTTTTTGTTCCCCGTAGATTATACAGAATCGCATCCAAGATTTTCTGCGGCCCGAAGCATTCTTGAATAAACGGAATTTTAATGAGAATCACTGATTCCTTAAGTGATTCATGTTTTCTGTGCGGCTCCTTATGGTGGTAACACGCTAATAGTCATTCGAAAAATATAGAGGATAATGCTCATGACTTAAAGACATGAGCCCTGAGACCCATAAGAATATATGCATAACAGGGCTCACGTCATTATGCACGCGGTTCCGTTTGACAGAAATATGTCCAATTAGGAACTACAATTCGTGGCTCATTCGTAAAAACACTTGTGTCTGAGTGTCTACTAAATCAGGCTGCCCAAAAATTAGTACTTCAACAGTACTTTTTCAGTGCATTCTCAAAAAATTTAGTGCCTCCTCAACAGAAAAATTCAGTACTTTTCCTGTACCTCCATTTGACGAAATTTGAAAAATTTCGAAAATTTGAAATTTTCGCTCGCATTGCGACAAAAATGACGTAGACACATTGATGGTCATTGGTGGCTTGAAGATTCACTGACTGCATAATCGTGATCTTGCAGGCAATTACTACTCTAAGAACACCGGAAAAAAAGTGAAATTGCTTTAGCATCCTGGATGTTAAAAAAAGTGTGCGAGAACTTATAAAATGTTAAATTAACCGCTACAGCAGTTACTTTAGCAATGCCAAGATGTAAAACTAACTGATGTGAGGGGTAATTCAGCATTTTATAAGTTTTCGCACACTTCTTTTACATCTAGAATGATAAATCAACTTCACTTTTTTTTCGGTGTACTGTCCAGGCTTTGTTGAAAAACATGTGTTGGATGAAGGAAGACCTTCTTGCGGCATTTCTGTACTTTTTCAGTACTCTCCGACCGCCCATAAAAAATTTTTGGTACTAAAATAAGTACTATATCCGGATTTTCCGAACTAGCAGATACCCTGTAATGTACAAAGAAAATTTATAGTGCATACGTTGTTTCGAAACTAAGCTAGAATTCGGCAGAATATATTTTCCGCACAAAGTACATTTGTGATAATTTTTCCGATTATCGTTGCCGCACAAAATCAGTTTCGCACAAATCAGATCTCAAACATCTAGCAACATCGCACACAGCTGAGCAGGACAACCATACTCCCTCGTACTCGGTAGCTTGGGGCTAAATAGCTCAAAATAATTTTTTCAATCTTTGCTCACTTATTTTTCTTAAATATGCCTCATATTTCCTCGACGTTGCAACATACTACAGAAAATTATTTGTGTGAAAATGATTTTGTGGGGCAACAATAATCGGAAAAATTACCACAAATGTACTTGGTGCGGAAAAAATAAAGTCAGCCTAGAGTTCGGAATTGCTAATTGGAAAATGTAGTTGAAATATGACCCCCTTTTCAGATGATGCTAAAAGCTGTGCTTCTGGCCGTGCTGGCAACTTTGGTGACTGACGCCAGCGCAAGGGTTCCCCACCCCAAAGTGAAGGACTACGATGAGTTGGACCTGCCTATCTTCAACTACACTCTCGACAACGGTGTCTTGGAAGATGTCCTTAACGTCTCAGTCACCTACGCTGTCTCCGACGGGTACTTCTACCCCACATTCGGGGAAGAAGAAGAAGTGACCGGCGACAACTGGTACAACCTCACCATCCCCATGCAGTACCCCAACTCCTTCGTCGTTCTCCTGAGCCAATACGGATTAGGTAAGTTGCTTCATGGGGGCTCTACAGCACTTAATCTAGCCTCTACAGGGTGTCTACCAGTTATAAAAAAAACAAAATTGGGGACTTTCGGGGACTTTCAAGGGTGTTTTTTCAAGAAAATCGGGGACTTTTTCCCCCGAAATAACAAGAGAAGGGAGCTAGTTAGAGCGTTAAAAGGTGCATTTTTTACGACTAATTTCATAAGTCATGTTGAACGGATGAAAAAATACGAAAAACCAAGCAACAATTCAGTTTTTTGTTCCTGATTACATCGCGTTGCCGCAGCTGGCAAGAAAATTTCAAAATACCGGTGTTTAGGACGATTTTTATCATTTTTTGGGGACCTGAACGAGAAAATTGGGGACATTCGGGAATATCGGGGACACCCTTCCAAAATCGGGGACATTCGGGACTTTTGGGGACCGGTAGACATTCTGCTCTAGCGAGACTTCGGTGTAGATTGAGTTTAGCGGAAAAAGGATATAAGTTTTTTTTCTTTTTTGGGGGGGGGGGGTACACCAAAGGTCTCAGGTCGTAGATTTATTTTATTGTTTCTATTCATACAGAAAAGTTTTCGTTTAAATATTTCACTTAGAAAAAACAGCAGGGCTTTTTCGCAATTTTTGACCAGAAGAGGTTAAAGTCCAAAAATCATTTTCTATAAAATTTGTTTGATAAATTGGTTCCCTTCTGAACGTTAGAAGAGCACGGAATCAAGTACACAAATCGTCATCTCCGAGGCGAAACAACGTAACTCCATTCCAAGGTTGTGAACTTGAACGAAACAATTCAAATTTTTTACGAGAATGCGCCAGTATGAGTTTCGTGCAATTTTTTCCTGTTTTTCGCACGAGATCAGATGAAAAACGAGAATAAACGGGCCCCTTCAAACAGGAGCTAGGCAACAAACACAAGACTCAGTGGAATTGCAATACTGTTACAATGTAACTGCTACTTATTGCAATCTGTGCTACTTGGATAAGGGCGACTTCTCTTTGTAATAATTAACCATCTAAGATGTAAACAAAAAAAAGATAAAAAAAAAAACAAAAAAAAACTGTTGTATGGACCACTAGACAAGGTACGAATTTAAGCAATCTGATACATGTTTCTCAACCAGAATTTCACGTAAAACACGATTCACACCACGAAAATTACCGAAATCAACTTCTAACGAAGATATTAACGTCTTTATTTCGCACTGATTACGAGGAATTTGAACTGCCCGCTCACAAGAAACTCAAAGCTCTACGTGAGTCAAATCGCGCACTACAACGGTTTCAGCAAGCTTCTCAATCGAGCAATGTTCATTTTCCACCATGTGTTGTTCAAACTATTGGTAATTTGCTATAGCTGAGTCAAAGTGTCAAGATTGAAGTTGAAGATTTTTACATCGCAGAGACTGTCATGATAAACATTTAGCGCGCGATGTGAATCACGTAGAGCATTGAGTTTTCATGAGCGGGTGGTTTGAATTCACGCAATAAGAATCATTAAATGGACGTATTTCTGCCAAACGGAACTATGTGCATTGAGACATGAGCCCTGAGACCCATAAGAATACACGCATAACGGGGCTCGCGTCATAATGCACATAGTTCCGTTTGATAGAAATACGTTCAAATATCTTCTTGAGGAGTTTATTTCCGTAATTTTCGTTGTGCGCATCGTGTCCTACGTGAAATTTTGGTTGAGAAACATGTATCAGAATGCTGAAATTCGTACTTTGTCTAGTGGTCCATTGCACCGGTTTGATGCTACATGATTGGTTTTTTGACCCAACAGTGAAAGCTGGCGAGAACGTGACTCAAGACGGGTTCATATACGCGGAGGCCGGGGACAGCAAATTCGCCCTCAAGTTGAACTTGAGCGTGACCAGCGATGGCGACGACGACGTGGTGGTCGACTACTTCGCCGCGGAGGTGGCCGCCGAGGAGATCGTCCTCAAACTCGTCGAGAACCCGGTCGAGGAAGAGGATCCCCTGGACCAGAACCAAGCCGCCAAGGAAGGCTTCCTCAAGAAACTCACCGAGGTCTACAGCAACGCCATCGTCCCCTACCTCAACCAGCCCGTCCAGACCGAGGAGGAAGGATCCGTCAGCCTCGCCAAAGTCAGACGCCATCTCAAGCGCGGACCCCTCAAGCACCTCAAACTCCCGAAATCCCTCACATTCTAGACGCACACGCTCTCACCTCGTTGTCTCCCGGACGAAAGAACGTAACTCCATTCCAATGTTGTCAAATTTCCCCTCGAAAATTGTCTAATAATCAGGAGAATTTTGGGTAGTTCTGACAGAAATTTTCCCTGATTTTTCTCTAGATTCCAAGCAAAAACAGAGATATTTTGGATACAAATTGCTTACGTACATTTTTGTAAAATAAATTAATTGTTTAAGTCAATTTGGCAACCTTGAAATGGAGTTACGTTCCTTCGTGCGGGAGACGACGACCTGTTCTTTAAAGTTTCATTCAACGATTTGGGATTGAAGGGAAAACTGTAGCCGTAAAATGAATCGAATTCAATAAAACACAAAAGTTATGCGAACGCAATGCGTCTTCTTTTCTTGATTTTAACAGCTCAGCCGCCCAAGTAGCACAGTGCAACGTGAATATTGAACTTTACTTGCAATCTGATTCCAACAAAGTTTTTTTTACCAATAAATTTAAATATTTTTACATCATTTAGCCGATTCATGCCAATTTCGAACAATCAAAAAAATGATTTCCATGTGTTGGAAAGAGAAGCAATATGCAATGCAATGAAAAATTGCAACTTATTTTAATTATATTGCAATAAGGTTCAATAAATGGAACCCCTTCAAATAGAAGCTAGGCAACATAAACCACACTCAGTGGAATTGAGATAATTTTACTACGTAATTGCTACATATTGCAATCTGTGCTACTTGGGCAATAGGGATGATGCTGCATACAATTTCGGACCTGCTTTTTTTAGGGTTCTACCAAATCATATTTAAAAATCTATAGCGTGATAGAAAGCTGACAGAAGTGGCTTCTCGCAACATTTATTACAGATTTTCTTTATCTACTTTAGTTGAGGAGATAGTGTATGGGTAAAATTACTTCCTGCACGGAGAAAAAAAACTTCATGCATGGGACCCGAAGTTGAGGTCATATGGATCTCTGCATTTTTTGGATCACACATCTAAAAACCTGAGGTCCAACTGCCGAAGTTCGAGTCAGACTTCTGACGTACTTCGGTGTATACCGAAGAGTTCAGGTCACACATCTGAAGTACTCCGGTACATACCGAGAGCTTCAGATGTCTGACCCGAACTTCGGCAGTTGAGCCTCAAGTTTTCGGATGCGTGATCCGAAAACTTTAGAGATCCATATGACCTCAACTTCGGGTCCCATGCACGAAGTTTTTTTTCACCGTGTGGACGACCCTCGTACGATGGCACGTTTGCATGCACTAATTTTAAAGATTGCCCGGGAAAAAAACGTAAATTTCGGGAGTAAATAGAATTTTTCGGATTTTCATCCGAGAGGGTGAAGTGGGACCGCACCCCAGCGGTTTTGCGTCATGGAACGGAATCCCGCTATGGCGCGGTCCCCCGTTACCTTCCCGGATCTCCATGTGAATACTTACAAGGGACAAAACATTCGTTGCTGGGACCCGAGGTTTAGGTCACACGAATCCCTGAGGTTTTCGGATCGGTCGTCCATAAACTTGAGGTTCAGTTACCGAAGTTCCGGTCATACGTCTGAAGTACTTCTGTAATTCCATTGATTCCAAAGAAATCTCAACAGAAGTACCTATCGAGGTACTTCAGATGTGTGATCCGAACTTCGGTAGCTGGACCTCAATTTTTTGGATGCACAAACGGAAAACTTCAGAGATTCATGTGACCTAAATCTCGGACCCCATGCATGAATTTACTCTCTCCGTGCATCCGAAGCTAACTGATATCCGGAAAACCTTCAACTTGAAAGGCATTGCACCCAGCACACGCTGGACCTCGTATATTAAGTGCGGACGTACGGAATGTAGGGTCAACAAGAAACGGATACGAAGACTTGCAAATCGGCGGTCTTGCGTTAATGATGTTATAATGCTACTAGAGGCCTGTGGCCTCTATACGGCCTACAACCACTGATAAAAACTACACGTAAAAAATAGTAGAACAACCACGTTCAAGTTTAGGAGATGAATGGATTCAAAAGCCGACCGGTGCACGCGAAAGAAAGCATATTTATTATTTATCTCCAATTGCAACGTTGTGCACCAATTTTCATGTTTTATTTTGGAACACTATTTTTTAAAAGTACACACAGATATTCCCACGAATTTTCTTAAATGACCTTCAGTGTAAGCATTGAAAATTTCGACGCAATATTTTCGTTATCATTTTACTTTCTTTCTATATTACAAAAAAAAAAAAAGAAAAAAAAAAAGAAAAAAAAATTACATATCATGCGAGTTTCTGAATCGTTACAATGAGGATACTTATTCTCCCTTTACTTCTGGTAAAAACCGAAGCATAGGGTCAAGAATGCACGAATGATGACACATAATCTTAGTTTAACGGTGGCTTTAGTGTCGCGCGAGCCTAGGAATGGAACGCGGTGGAGTCATCTTTGCAGTGTGACGCGCCTTCCATCCGGCAAGCGGCATTATGCCTACATGCATGGTCGAACAATTGTCTCGTTACGCCTGCTTTGAATGAAACCAAATATCGACGCCTCCACGCGGAAAAAAAGTGTTCTTATCACCGCGATTGCAACTTTGCAAATCTTTACTCATAATTTATTTTTAATCAATTTTATTTTAGAAAAAGCTACACACAGTTTTTTTTAGAAGTTTCCGAGAAATTTCCGGAGTGATTTGAAATAAAATCACAAAACATTTCGACGCGATGTTTTCGTTCCTTCTGTTTTCTTTTATTGAACTAAAATTAATTTTACGCGAATCAAGTTTTAGAATCGCTGCATCGTTTGAACGTTGCCGAAGCGTTGCAATTATGATACTTATTTACACTTTTATGTGGTAGAAACCGGGCAGGAACCGTCAAAAGAAATGACGCGTGGTCCTAGTTTTGTGGTGATTTTAGCGTCGCGCAAGCCAGGGAATGGAGCGCGGTCGAGTGTCGAGTCGTCTTCAAACTGTGAAGCGCCTTCAATCCAGTTAGCGGCAATGTGCCTATACCAGTAGTCGAAAAGTTATCGCAAATAACGCTCGCATTGCATTTGGAGCAATGCGAGAAGTATTCATGCAGTCTTGTAGGCGCTAATAAGCGTTTGACGCCGACCGCATTGTTTGGCGCAATGCGTGAAGTATTCCTACAGTCTTGCAGGCGCCAATATGAGTTTGACACCGACCGCACCGTGTTCGGCGCGATTATTCGAACTCGCGTTAGGATAATCACGGCATCGAACAATAGGGCTTAAAAGGCCCATGTTGTGTTTCGACGCCGCTGCCTCGTTTCTCCCGATAAAATATTTTTTCTGAGAAAAGTTAGGGGAGTTTTCGAAGTTCGCTCTTTTAGATTAAATGGACCATAAAACAAGTTACGAATTTAAGCACTCTAATGTATAATTCTTCAACAGAATTTCTCGCAGAACATGCGATTCAAGCAACGAAAACTACTGAAATCAACTTCTTGCAAAGATATTAACGTTTTTATTGTACGATGGTTACGGGAACTTTGAATTGTCCGGTATGCATAAAATAAAAATAAAACTACATTTTGAGTCATTTCGTATTTATGTTCACTTACACCGTCCGGCATTTTTGGACCTTAGAGGGCCCCCTTCAGCTGAGCCAATCAGGAATGGTAACCACGGTGACCATTCTCTTCCTATAAAGATACTCTATCCAGAGTCACCTGGGATCGGAGCAAGTGAGGTGAAACGTAAGTACGCCTTTCCCGACCTTTACGGTCAGAACTCGGCTTCCGGCATCCGTCGCACAGTGGATCGAGTCAGCAGGACAACATTTGGAAACTTTAAACGCTTATAACTCCCTTCATGCAAAACTTCGAGCTTCTAGACGTGGATTCATTGGTTTCCTCGAAAAAATTTCTTCTGGAGGCACCCTTTGAAAGAGCTTGATGCAAAAACGGCTTTTTCGCCCCCCCCCCTCTGGAAGTTCTTCAGACTTCGTCTATTGATTACTCATACTTGAGCGCTTCTTTTCCCAAATTTTCAGACCCCCAAAAAATTTTGAACCCTGTCAAAACCTGTGAACCTCGATATCTCTTGAACAAAGAAAGATATGGAGGTCCGGTTTGGACGAAAAATCGTCTAAAGTTGCATACTTTAAGATTCTAAAGGTCGAAATCCCGATATCACATTTTTAAGTCAGCATATGTGTTTTTTTCCAGTTTTTAGGTCTAGAAAATTTCTTTTAAACGAAAAATTTACAAAGATCTCAATTTTTTATTTAAACCAAAACCAGTTTTTTTAAATTGTTCGTCTTTTTCCGCATCCAACGAGTGGTCCATTGAGCTGGGGAACCAAACGGTTCCGGAGTTATGATCGATTGAAGTTTCCGCTCAACGCGCGCCGACCGATTTTCGCGCGCAAAAAAGTCGGATTCGACTGTTATTAGATCAGATTGAACATTCAATCTGATCTAATAACAGTCAAATCCGACTTTTTTGCGCGCGAAAATCGGTCGGCGCGCGTTGAGCGGAAACTTCAATCGATCATAACTCCGGAACCGTTTGGTTCCCCAGCACAATGGACCACTCGTTGGATGCGGAAAAAGACGAACAATTTAAAAAACTGGTTTTGGTTTAAATAAAAAATTGAGATCTTTGTAAATTTTTCGTTTAAAAGAAATTTTCTAGACCTAAAAACTGGAAAAAACACATATGCTGACTTAAAAATGTGATATCGGGATTTCGACCTTTAGAATCTTAAAGTATGCAATTTTAGACGATTTTTCGTCCAAACCGGACCTCCATATCTTTCTTTGTTCAAGAGATATCGAGGTTCACAGGTTTTGACTTCCATCCCCCCTAGCTCCCCCCCAAAATTTTTTTGGGGGTCTGAAAATTTGGACAAAGAAGCGCTCAAGTATGAGTAATCAATAGACGAAGTCTGAAGAACTTCCAGAGGGGGGGCGAAAAAAGCCGTTTTTGCATCAAGCTCTTTAAAATTGGACGAATTAAACATCAAAATTCGCAGTTTTAGTCAAAAATTTCATGCCCGACCTCTCTAACTGACTCAATCCACTGTTTGTGGATTCCACATTCCTTCCACTTTTTTTTTTTTTTTTTTTTTTTTTTTTTTTTTTTTTTTTTTTTTTTTTTTTTNTTTTTTTTTTTTTTTTTTTTTTTTTTTTTTTTTTTTTTTTTCCAACACAGTATGGGTCCAAAGGCAAAGGAGCCTGCCCAACCGATACGTCGACCATGAGCTGCGTATGATCAGCGTATTTTCTTGATATGGTTTGCTTTACGGTTAGGTGAAGTCGAGCATTCCGCATCTTCATTTGGACACCCGAACTCCGCCAACCTTGTAAGTGTTCAATCCTGCAGGCTCGAGCAAACAAAAGAATTTTCAGGTGTCTGAAATTTGATGAATTTCGTGTCTAGGTGGAAACTACACTAAGTGAACTGAATAGGAGAATACCCTTGGTTCATGACTTGAACAATTATTGGAGGAGATGTATGACAAAATGACCTAATGTGTTAAAATACGTGTGTTTAAATGGGAAATGCCGCCAGATGAGGTGCATTTTCTCACTTTAACTATTTTTATACTATTTCCCATATCAAAGAAAAATTATGAAAATACTATGAAATCAGCTCTTTCAGTACTTTCAGATGAAGTAATAAAAAATTTGCATGCAAATTCTCTATTGTGAAAAGCGGAAGCACGGCCCATCAAATAAGGAAACATAAGACCGTTAATATGCGATTCTACGTTTGTACCAAAAAAGAGTCTGCATTGAGTAGGGGACAGAGAAGATCTAGCGTGACCGCCAGAATTTCCTTCGCTTTTTTCAGCCAACCAGACATTCGACGACCACTTATTTATTCCTTATGAAAAATTACATGAGAAATCAAAACCATATATTTGTCTCTGATTCGATCAATTTTTTGGCAAAAATATGTTCACGGTTGACTTTTCGAGACTTTGCCGTTTCAACTGATGTGTAAAACGTCTTACTTACTCCCCCCCCCCCCCAAAAAAAAAAAAAAAAAAACACAAAAGATCCTGATTTTTGAAATTTCAATTTTCTTCCACTCGGATGTTTTTGATCAAAGAGTCAACGGAATAATAAAAACCATCGGCCCGAACGGGAAAAATTGAAATGTCGAAAGTCAAGATCTTTGTATTTTTTGGAGTAGTGGAACGTATTATACGTCAACAGAAACGCCAAATCCTCGAGAAATCAATCGTGAAGCTTCTTTTGCTGAAAAATTGACTGAATACAAAAAAGTTATATGGTTTCGATTTCCCATGTTATTATCCAAAGGGATGAAATGGTGGTCGTCGGGTGTCTGATTGGCTGAAAAAAAGAGCAGAACAATCATGCACTTTCTCGATTCGATGCAGACTCTCATTTCGGCGCTTGGCAGACATAAGGTCGTAACTGTACATCGAGGTGAGCCCGGAAAAGCATTGAATTGTATGAGAGACAGGGTTCATTGCAGAGTGTAGATACGCCCTTGTGTCAGGTAGGCGACGATTTTCTCTTCGGTTTCCACTTCGGAAAATTCTTCTCCCCTTGCCCCGAGACAATCTTTCGTAACACACAATTTGCTCGTGAAGCTTGGAGCGCCTGCATTTCCACGCACAGCTGCACGCTTTGCCCTGGAGATAGTTTAATTACCTAGCCGATCCGAATTCAAATCGGGCGTATTTATGCTAAAAAGAATTATGTTGCAATCACAGATCTAAAGAGATAGATTCTAAAATTCAAAACAAAAATAGAAATTTCAATTAAAATGTATCGTCAGCACCGGTCGAGTAATTTTTGATGGTCCATCGACAAGTTAATAATGGACCTCCGGACAGATGTATGAATCATAGCACTACGCAATATGTTTTCTCTTGGGAATTTTACGAGGAAAACGATTTTTCATGACATAAATTTACACAACATATATACGTATGTATGTGATGTTTCAACGTATGCATTCACGGAGAAAGTCTGCAAATGAACGCCGAGACAAGATTTAAGGGATTTGACAAGATTTAACATAGATTCAATAGCAAAAGAAATTAATGACGACATTTTCATAATCTAGCTTCCATTTGAGATGTATTGAAAACATTTCTTAATACCTCAAGCAGGAGTTGATTTTTGAAATTGCTGTTGTGTGAATCGTTTTTGAAGGGATTTTGAAGATTTTTGAATAATTTGAAGGAAAACATATCGATGGTGAAACTACCAGACCACGTATCTCGTTTGCGGTGTTTAAAAATCTCCCTTCCCATTTTATTTTTTTAAAAGGGAACGAAATTTTCACAGAATTTTCCTTGAGCAGAGAAGAAAATTACGGAAGTTTTAAAGAACTTACATTGATTAGTTTTCCATTTAAAAAATGGTGTATGACAGGAAGTCTACAACAACGCAAACTGAGATACGTTGTCTGGTAATTTAACCGTCGAGATGCCTTCTTTTCTACTTCATTCTTCGCCGAAAGGATCATGGATAATAGGACATATCTCCAAAAATCCCGGAACTCCACATCATGCTGTGTACTTCATGTATTCACACACACGATTTGACTCGAAAACACTTCGAAATGCCGCCAGAAGTACGACCCGAGGGAATGTTGCGATTCAAAAAACAAAACCTGTGTTCAGGTTTTGTGATAGTTGAAGCTTATGCTTTGGATTTAACAGTCGGCTAGAATAGAATTGAAAATCAAAAGCTTCAGGGCGGATATCGAAAATTCTTGGTTACAAAAATGATTTTATTTATCTGATAAAATTCCTGCAATCCTAAGCCTGTGTCACACTGTTAAAATACTCCATCAAAATGTCAAGGTCAAGTACTGTGATTGGTCTGAGTCATCGAATGAGCCAACCACAACCCCTGACCTTGATATTTTGATGGAGAATTTTGATAGTGTGACACAGGTTTATGGGCGTATCTTAATTTCCACGAGAGCCCTGCTGTTATACGTATAAACTTATGCTTTCTAGGGCTCATGTAGAAATCAAGATCAAGCCCTTTTACCAGAAGAGCGACGATTTTAAATTCATATTATTACAGATAAAAAAATGGCACTTCCATGTTCACTTCCATGTTTTAAAACGTACAAAAATTAGTTAATGATGTGTAAAAATAAATTGGAAAAACAAATTGTAAATGAGAATCCTAAAAGTTTGGAAAAAATGGATGTTACAGGCCGATTGGTAAAATAAGAGCAAAGAAACCGATATTTACAACTTTGATTTTCCATATTGAATACCCTTAATGTTTAATACTCGCTGAAAAAAAAAAAATATTGAGATATTATAATGACTTAAAGCGTCTTGTCGACATTTATTTATTTATTTATTTTTTGTTACAGAAACGTTGTTTTGTTGTCGTTTTTTTAGCTTACACTGAGCGATAACAAAACAACGTATTTTTGACCCAAGAAACTGATATTGAGTTGAATCCGTACGAAGGTTACTAGAAAAAAAAAGATGAAGAAAAAAACTGTCGACAAGAAGCGACGCTTTCAGTCAAAATAAAATTAAAATCTCAGGAAAAATATTTTCAGTGCTGCGAACTATGTTTTTTTTTTTTTTTTTTTTTTTTTTTTTTTTTATCAAAATTGTAAAACCTCTGTATTTTCCAAATACGATGAATTTTTGTCTTAATGTTCATTCGAGAACGAAAAAACAAAATCGGCTCTAAAATTATCCAAGTTACAATAGTTACATATTACAAAACGGCTTTAATGGACCACTAGACTAGGTACGAATTTGTTTCTCAACCAAAATTTCACGTAAAATACGATGCACATAGCAAAAGTTACCGAAATCAACTCCTTACGAAGATATTTAATGATTCATGATGCGTGAATTCAAACCGCCCGCTCATGAAAACTCAATGCTCTACGTGTTTCACATCGCGCGCTAAACTTTCATCATGATAGTCTCTGCAATATAAAAATCTGGAAACCTCAATCTTGACGGTTTGGCTCAGCTACAGCAAATTTCTTGTGGTTTTAACAACATATAATGGGAAATGAACATTGCTCGATGGAGAAGCTTGCTGAAACCGTTGTAGTGCGCGATTTGACTCGAGTAGAGCTTTGAGTTTCTCGTGAGCGGGCAGTTCAAATTCCTCGTAACCAATGTGAAATAAAAACGTTGAAATCTTCGTTAGGAGTTAGTTTCAGTAATATTCGTTGCGCTAATCGTGTTCTACGTGAAATTCTGGTTAAGAAACATGTATCAGATTGCTTAAATTCGTACCTTGTCTAGTGGTCCATTGCAAATTAAAAGAATTCGAAGAAAATACTCAAAATTTCAATAGAAAAGAAGATATTTGGCTATGTGCCTGGGCAGTCGACTGATTTGACTAACAATCTTTGATATCCACACTAAGCTTCAAAACGACAACTCGTACTTTCACTGTCACCGGATGTTTCTAGATCAACAATTAAACTGATGTTCAGAGAAAAGAACTCTCATCTGAAACTATAGCTCCACCCTGTTTACAATAATGTTCAGGAGTGCTTTTCCCTGAAAAACTGAGCCAATCCAGACACTTCCCACTGAGAATACTCGAAAGATAAAGAGCCTTACAACAAAAACAGTCACTCGTTTGTTGAACTCCGATTTAATCGTGTATCTAATACGCCCCCGCACACTTATCTTTTCACGCGAATGAATCAGATGCTTGAAAGTTTACGATTGCCTATGATTCACCGTGTTTTTACAAAAAAGCTCTCAAGAAATTGCGGAAAATTCTCGGAAAATGAAGCATGAGCACTCAAAACCATATTCTTAATGGAGACGGGTTTTAATATATAAAGCTTACAACGTCCATAGTCAGTCAATTCAACTTGAAAGTTGTTAGACTTGATCTTCCACCAAGCCGATAAACCAGACAACCAAAGGTAAGTTGTTTTGTTCCTAACTTAAAACTGTGCTCCTCATTTCCTAGTGTATCATTTTAACTTGATAGCTTTCTCGAGTCACATTAGATCAAGTTTGGTTAACTTTCAACGGTAGGTATTTAATTGAGACGGTATGGCGATCATTTTAGGATAATTTACAGCTGTGAACATTAAAAACATTCGAGTGAAGCTGGATTTTTTTCCCTGATCAAACTTTTGCTCAGAATTTTATTTAAACATACTGGCCTTACATTTAGCATTCCGGAACAATAATTTGTAGAAAAACGTGGTTTGAGTTTTGAAATAAAATTAAGGAAATTTTTTTCCCGGTAGATAAGTTCCTTTCCCACAGATGCGATCGCATTCATAGATCCTATTCTTTTATCTCAGTTTCATGAGAGAGTGCCCTTGAGCCCTTGTGCCTGCTCGGTCCGAGCTGCATGCTTCAATTGGAGCACATTTTCCAATGGGTCTGTTGCAAACTTCAGCTATAGCAAAAAGAAGAGATGTCTCTTAGAGAAAATGCCTCGAAAAGCACGATGAGCTTAACGAGAAAGTCTGAAATACACTCGTAACTTCACAATCTTGAGGAGAATTATGCATTTTTTTAAAGCATGGCGGAACAGAAAATTGCTCGATTAAAAGAGAAAAACTGTTGTAAAGCGCGTTTTGATTCCAGTAGACCATTGTTTTTTTTGAAAGCGGGCAATTCGAAATTCTTGTAACCAATGTAAACTAAAAACGTCAATAACTTAATTACGAGTTTATTCAAATAATTTTCGTTGCGCGAATCGTGCTCTACATATAAAAGAAATTTAGTATAAGAAACATGCATCAAAATGCTCAACACTCTGCGGCACGGTTCTACTTATTTAAAAAACGGATTTCTTGGTTTTTTGAAAATTTTATCATTCCTCTGTGGCATAATTTTGCAAATTTTCATCTGCACTTTTTTTTCTTTCGATTGGCAACAACATAGATTTGCGTCCCTCAGAATTCAAGATCCGGAATTAATTCATGTCGTAGAGAGTTAAATGGAGAAATATCACGCAAGATCACAGCTTAATCCGAGAGTGCATCATAAGCAGAGTTCATACTATTTTTCATAATTTTTTTTCTGAAAAGGGAAATTACAGAAAACAAGATCTGAAAGTGAGAACATGTACCGCCTTGTGATGTCATCTGGCGGTATTCCCCAAGTAAACACATGTACTTTAGCAAATTAGGTTATTTTGTCGTAATTCCGCCGATTCAATTTAGGAACCAAGGATATCCTCGTGCTCAGATCACCTAGCAGTTTTATTTTAAACATGAAATTTAAAAATGTTTAGACTCGTGCAGATTCTCCATTCGTAACTTGTCGAGCGTTCTATTAAAACTTTGCCTCTGCTGCGCAGATGATGGTGAAAGCTACCCTCCTGGCCGTTTTGGCGACCGTTTTGATTGCCGAGTCCAGCGCAAAGGCCCTCGGTGGCCCGAAAGAGAGCGACTACTCGGGGATCAACTTGCCAGGCTTCAACTACACTCACGACGTGGTCGGATCAGTCATCAACGTGACGGCACCTTCAGTCTGGGTCGGCAATTTGTACTGGCCTCAATTCGGCGAGGCGACCCACGTCACTGACGACGATTGGTGGAACATGACCTTCCCCCACACCTACCCCGTAGCCTTGACCGTTGTGCCAAACGCCGAATTCCAATACGGTAAGTTAATTACCTAACCTGACCTAACCTAACCCAACCCAACCTAACCTGACGTAACCTAACCTAGTTACCAGAGACAAGAGACCCTCCACTAGTATCTTGGCCATGGTGGAAGCTTTTACTTTCGGGACTTCAGCATTCTACTGTTGAATTACCTACATGGTTGATGTTCAACAACGTGTTGGCAGTTTCGTTTTGCAAACAAGCCGAAAATGGCCGACGTTTGGAAAAGTTGTTTGGCTCATGACGTCATCCGAAGCTCATCATCGACCATGTAGGTAAGTCAACAGCCGAAACTAGGGTGATGACTGTTGCTCCCTAATAATTGTCCATAAGGAATTGTTGAAACCCCGAAAGTAAAAGCTTCCACCTGTCGCTAGGAGGCCAGTGGAGGGTCTCTTGTCTCTGCTAGTTACTCGCTTGGTTTTACATGCGACAAACACCAAGCCAATTTCACTGTAACGCCTAGATACAACTATTCGGGCTCTACGGATGTCCGTGTTGCATACGCCCTGAGGTGAAGGCGTTTTGGCTCTCCAGGCACTTGCCGCTTCGGCTTCATCCGTGGCGCGGCAGCAGACTGCATCGTGAGGATTCCAAGTGACAGAGCGCCTCAATTTTTTCTTTGTACTACGAAGATGTCTCTTGGGCGAGCTACACATCTTGGGCCCAGCACATCACTAAATCAAAACTGAAGCACAGAAGATACTCACATCCTACGCATGTGTGGAACTACTTGTGAGTAATGGATGTTTTTGTAGTATAAACGAAGAATTGGAGGCGCTTTGTCATTTTGGATTCTCGAAGCACAACATACTGCTGCCACGTCGGCTGCACCGCGGGTAAATTAGTGAGCGGTAAGTGCATGGAGATTCAAAACGCCTTCACTTTCGGGCGTATGCAACGAGGACATTCGAGGACCTCGAATAGTCGCATCCAGGCGTTAGATGGAATTCGCTTATGGTTCGTTGCAAGGAGGGAGATGAAAAAAAGTGCTCTAAGATGTTTACTGAAGTGGTTTCAAGACAGAACTATGTAACCAAAGTTTACCAAACCGAAGGTTATTCAATACCGCAGAGATTAATAGTCCATATACTAAAATAGTATTACTCCAGAGGAGGGATTATTCGTATTTAAAATTGTGTGTGGGAGGCCCCACGGGTCCCCTTTACCTTCACCCTGCAGTATTGTCGTTCAACCCTCCAATGCATAATTTTTTTGGGACGCCGATTTTGATGAAAAAAATATATGTTAAATATATGAAATTCAAGAAAACACGTCTTTGAGCGTTTTTCGAAATTTTAATTTTTCCTGTAACTTTTGAAGCTTAAAAAAGCTCTTTGTCATACGGCAACAACATACAGTAATTTCCAGGGGTACCAATATGAGCATTCCTGAATTTACTGTGAATGAAACAATTACTGTTGCCGTGTGGCAAGGCGATGCAGTAAAGGGTTAACCACAAGGGACACCCTGTATACTGTCTTTGATGGATGCTTTGAAATTCGAGAGGTGCATGACGAAAGTTGTGATGTTCTAAGCCGTGTTTTTTCTGCCAACAGTCGAAGACGGTGTGAACAAAACCGAAGACGGCATGGTAATCGCCGACGCGAGCAAGATCCAGTACACCCTCCACGTGACCGTGAAGATGGACAACAGCGGCGAGTACCCGACCATCGACTCCTTCGAATCGAAAATCGTCGTCGACAGCGTGGAACTGAGCATCGTGAAGAAGGACAAGGATTACGAGGACCGGCTGGAGGCCAACCCGGAAGCCTTCGCGGAATACCAGGAAGCGCTCGAACAACAACTCCGCGAATATCTTGCCCCGGCCTTGAACGAGCAGATCCACAGTGATGAGACAGAGAGCGCCGCCGGCGCCAAGCTCACCCCGACCGCCCTCCGCCGACACCTCAAGCGAGGACCCCTCAAGCACGTCAAACTCCCCAAAGCTCTCCGCTTATAACTTTCCAACCTCCCACTTCCTTACAATACTTTGGCTTAAAAATTTCATTGGTGCAATATGGGAAACTTCGCTTGGGGCCACAGAAACTACGGATGTAAGATTAATTGAATTTAATAAAGCATAACACTTAACACCAAATTTTCCCTCCTTTTTCACATGAATTTTCACCTCAGAAGTAGTAATCTGCCATGCTATGGAAAGACGCCGTATGAACCTTCAGGCGTTGCCAAATTTCCATATATAAAACACCAAGTTCCTGGTGAACTTATAAGTATTTTTCTTCTAATTTTTCAGATAATTTTGTTTGCGATTTCACCGAAAGTTCCTGAAAATTTCCACGAAAAATATTTAGAACTTTCCTCAAAAATAAACAGTTAATTGGAAGAAATTTGGCAACTCTCGAATGTTCATGTGGCGTTCTTCCTTAGCACGGCAGTAATTTGGTGCAGCACTCTTAATGATCATCCCTTGAAACTATGCAGAAGTTCTTTTGACTTTAATGTAGTAGGTTTCAACAATCCTATCCAGAGATGGAAAATGAAATATTTTACATCAAATTTCATTTTCCAGAAAAGATATATCATTTTCAAGAAAAAAAATCTCATTTTCTAAGGAATTCCGACGATCTTTTAGGCGCTGCGTACGCAACCCGCAAAAATTACCCAGGAATTCAATGGGAAACTTCGAAATATGACTAGTTATTTTTTAAAAAAAAGCAAAAACAAAAAAAATCAGATTTTACTCATTTTTTTTAAGTCTCATGGCACCCTGAGTTCACTGCAGAATTTCAAATGAAATTTCATTAGATTGAGTTTTATAAAATTTTGCATCTCTGGTTCCACCTCGTCAATATACTTCGGTAAATGAGTTTGTGCAATACGAGAAACTTCGCGCTAAAAAAAGTTTAGCTGAAAAATGCGTTGAATTTAGTGGAACACGCATCGGTTATTGTCAACGTTTGCTTCCGTTTTAAGTTCAATTTTCACCAGAGATGATACGAGTGCTTACCATCCGGAAATATTAACCAAAACCTCGGTTTATTTACCGTGCAGTATTAATAAATAAGCATGCGAGGCATTATCCTTCAATATTTTGAAGTCAGATACCAGTTTTTCTGGCCTTAAAATTGTAAGTTTCAACGCCCCCACCTAGTGGCTATGCTAAACTTAAAAAAAGGGTTTGTACAAGCTTCACAAGGTTAAACAAACCTTAGCAGTAAGATGGATTGAACGTAATGAAGCGCATTAGTAATCAAGTGTTCCCTTTATTTATTGCAAATGTTGACCACAGAGTCACTTCACACTTTGCGACACAATGAAATCAGCACGGGGTCTTCCTAAAGAAATGAGCTGTATTAGGGACGACAATGAATGCGGTCCTCAAGCAGGGAAAACTTCAGCGAAAGATAATCATTTAACGTGATACAACTATTTAAACGCTGGTGTAAGCCGGGTTGCGGCCACAAATACGAAGGCGATTTAAACAGCCTCAGAATATACAGACAGTTATTTACATTGACTTCAAAAACTCTTTTAGTGATGAGAGCGCAGTTTCGATTAAAACGTGAAAATAACTTACTGTACCCTTTAAAAAAGGGCTCTCGAAGTTCGAAAGGGATTGAGTTAAGACTTTATTTCGTTGCTACCTCAAAGGTCATTCGAGGTTAAAGGAACGTTGTGCTTTTGAGTTTTTCGTCAAGTGAGAGCAATATAATTTCCTTACTCTTAGTGAGCCACGGCGTACCTTGCCGAGAAAACCATGGATAAATAGTCGAGGCAAAATAGAGATCAAGTTTAAGTCAAATTTGATTGCGGGGAAAAAAAAAAAAAGTGGAGAAGAGGAATAAAGTTTAGTATAAGTTCAATCTAGTTGCAAGGGATATAATGTTAATGTGGCCATCATATGTAGATGGATATTAAATCGGTAAAGTTAGCGAAAGTTAGAAAGAAAGATCCTGGTTAGAATAAAATGTTGCCAAATCATGTAGGGATAGAAACTGTAATACATTAGATATACTTATGCTGGAAGGGGCTGCGTGCGCTGAGAAAATTATTGTAGTTTTACCAAACTTAATATTTTAATATTTTACATGTAACTTAACCAATTCATTACTTTATCACATAAATCCACTACCAAAGATTATTATGATAAAGCATGGGTTTTCTTGCAATTTTGTCCTTTTCTACATAAATATGCCCAATTGGTGTGGGAAAACAAGGATGCAAAACAGAGACTAAGCGGCGAGGGTACATAAATTATCAAAACACGTTTGATGTTGTACATGCATTTCGACATAAATCGCCGTTCTCGGGAAGAGAGGCCACAAAAAACAAAGATGATTTGTAGTGCTCTAACATAGATAAGTGTTCCTCAAACATTCTGAGACAAATACATAACACCCAAAAATGTCAACGAATCGAAATTCAAACATAATCAGGGTTGGCAGTTTAAGTATGGTCAATTTGAGATGAAAACATCTTCACTTCTAATCTACCATGTTGACTGTCGGACTTTAATCAGAGACTAAGAGAGACCCTCCATAGGTGTGTTGGCGATAGTAGGCATTTATCTTCGGGATTCCAACATTCCCTACCTGTTGACCTACCTAGTAAGTGGAGGTTGAACAACGTGTTGAGCATATTGTTTTGCAAACAAGCAGGAGTTTGGTAAACTTGTTTGGATAATTACGCCACCCACAGCTCCTGGTGGTAGATCATCCACTTGGTAGGTAAGATGACTATTGCTGCCTATTGACTGTCCGTGCGGAAGTATTGGATTCCCGTGAGTCACAGTTCGCATCTGTCGCCAAGAGGTTAGTAAAGGATCTCTCTTTATCTCTTACTATAATGCTCTTTAAGATCCTGGATTGCCACGAAAATAAACTGAGCATGCTTGCAATTTATTATTGAGGACAATGGAGAGGATTTTCTGTCAACATCTCAAGTTCCAATCAAATGACACCCTTGAACGTAGATATTGTGCAATCGTCCAGAATGATGGTAGATCCTTGCCTCCAGTGACGCAATAACAAACGGACCGTCCGGGTTCAGTGCCCGAGAATGTTACACCTCTTGTTTACTCGGTGTATTTTCACAGCCAGATGAGCTCTGATTATTTGGCAATTAACGAGTTAAAAGCATCATTTGAAGCGTATTAGGCAGATATGAATTTCTTCAAAAATGTTTCCTTAAAAAACCAACTTATTGCACATGAATAGACTTGAGTAGGTATGTGATTTGTTTATAACTCCGTTTTCAGGTAGATTCTCCTTTCTGCTTGATGGCGTCAATTCCAGTGACGGTAAGAGACGCTGAAGTGCGGCTCTGATCCGATGCAAGGAGGGATGTGGATTTTTTTTTGGAAAAATAGATTTTGGTCTAAAAATGAGTTCAAATTAAATCGATAAAGGTATGAAAATCGACATTTCCCTCCATTAATGATAGCTGGTAAAGGAAGGATTGCGACATGGGCCGATCTCCACGGAATCGGAACTTTTTTTGATATTTGACACTTGACGATACCTATTTTGCAGAAATAGTCGGGTTTTGCCGATACTCGTAGTTTTCGGCTTCGAATCGGGCCCAAAATAGCTGAATATTCATGTTTTTCGCGGTTCTAGCGCAGATTTAGACTTGGGCCCAAGGGTGATGGGTCATGAGCTTCGAATACGTTGTGAGAAAAACGTACTTTGGTCCCTGTCGACTTCGGGCGCAAGTTCAAAATCGGACGTTTCTAACTTTACAGCCCAAAATCACGGATTTCGACCTGGGCCCAAAATAGACAAGTGATCATATTCTTGATGGTGCCTTTCTAGGTGTCCTTCACAACACATTCGAAGCTCATGACTCGTCACTTTTGGGCCTAGGAGAGCCGCGAAAAACACGAATTTTCAGCTATTTTGGGCTCCGAAGCTATGTTTAGGCCCATAGTTTGGGACCAAGTACTCGTGTGACGGCAAAACCCGACTGTTTCTGTAAATATGCTTCGTCAACTCCCAAATATCCGAGGAAAATTTCGATTCCGTGAGGGGCTGATTTCGGCCCGAATCGCAACCCCGCCTTGGGACTTGGGAGCCTCACTCAGGTCCAAGTTGGGGGCACTATTTTTCCTTCATTCATATCAATTGTAGGTGTGGCGACTCGCCTCGCCTAAAATTGATTTTTTTACATTCATTTCAAAGGAAAAAAAACAAAGTTGTCGACGTGCAATAATTCCCCAAAACGGAGTTATGTCTCTTAATTAGTGCAGCGATACAATTGGCAACGCAGTTTTGAACAGCGGCCACAAGCCGTCTGCACCTCTCACAGCACGGGATTGAAACGTGCGTTTTCACTTTAGGAATAAAAGTAAAATAGATCCTACAGCCACCAACTCGGAGCGTATCAGTCATTCACCGGCGAAGAGCAAACTCGGGTAATCTCGGGTTTTCGAAGTTGTTAAAATTAAACAAACCTCGACACAATAATGAGCTGCGAAATTAGCGTTCGCTAATTAGAGCACCGCAAAACGCTGCCACGATGCGCTTCACACCTCGCGAAAAAAAAGAAATAAATAAAGTGAGGATATATATCTTCGGTGAAGCTCGGAATTCTTGCAAAAATTGGACTTATTTCTGCTGAACGGAGCCGGAGCCGGAGACGGGTGGGAAAGAAGGCGTGTGCCCGTTAGTCGAGGTTCGTAAGAATGAATGGGAATTGTACTGCCGTGCTAAGGAAAAACGCCGTATGAATCTTCGTCAGTTGCCAAATTTCCTTGGATTAAATACAAATCTTTGGGATAACTCGTGAATATCTTCCGTTAAATTTTTCAGAGAATTTTCTTTGTAATTAGATCTAAATTATATGAAAATTTCACGATAAAATATTCATAACTCTTCTCAAAAGTAAAAATTTCATTGGAGGAAATTTGGCGACTTTTGAACGTTCATACGGCGTTTTTCCTCAGCACGGCGTGTAAAGCGCCGACGAAGCCGTGCGTCACTGCGATCGCCCGCGTCAGCATCAACTCAAGAGCCCTGTCCACTACGCTCTTTTCCCATACCCACGGCTCATAAATGCCGCATTCAGTTATGGCACATAGTTCCGTTTGACAGAATGTAAAATCCCGCTTTTCTATTTGCCCAAAGAGAAGCATGCCTACTTTTACATTGTGTCTGATGCAGCTTTCTAGAGCACATCTAATCTTTCTCACTCGTCTGTAGTTTCGTTTGGTAGAAATACATCCAATTGTACGACTTAGCTCTTCAAATACTTCTTTCCGATCCAAAAGCTCTGATATGCGTTTTCCGCAGCATAACTTGAAAATTTTTACTCATTTTTCTGTGAAAATAAATCATTTTTTCACAAATATTGTATGGAACTAAACAATCTTAGCCGCAATGCAGGTTTTATATGCCTTTTTCTTCAGCGAGGATGTCCTCCAACGTGCTTTGCTCGTGCTTTACAGGGAACACAGGGAAAACGAATCCGGTGGGACAACCAAACTTCGAATCGTATGGCCCACCCAAGTTTCCGCTTTGGACGTATTTCTATCAAACGGAACTATGCGCATTAAGACTTGAGCCCTGAGACCCATAAGAATACATGCGTAACAGGGCTCACATCACAATGCACATAGTTCCGTTTGATAGAAATACGTCCACTTTATTGAGCCCTTCAGTCGAAAGAACAACTCATGCAGGGCTTGGATTCAGCGGGCTGGTAACTGGAATTGATAGACAAAGCTATGGCCAAAAAAAGACAGAGAAAAAATAAAGCAATCCTTTTAGTGGAAGTAGGTGGTTGATAGACTAACTAATGACAATCCACGAGAGGCCATTTACTTATGGTCCATCATTTTCCTCCTGGTTCTAAAAGAACCACCCATTTCGACCAATGAAATTGTTCCATTATCTCTTTGTCTTCTTTGTCAATCGTTCTGTCTGTAGATTTCAATAATCAGCTAACAAGAAGTGTAGCCCCTAGTAGAACAATAATATTCACCGTAACGGCGTATCAGTGACTCATTTGTCTTTGAGTTTTCAAATCAACTTTGTTTTTTCCCTGTTTAAGTTGAACGTCGCGACGTCATTCCCCTGAAACACTGTGCATAAAATGTAATTATCAAGACCTTACCTACAGATGAGCGTGGTGCCGGGGTGATACAGTGTTACCTTTAATCGAGGTAATGAGCACGAGGCAAAATCTGAGAACGGATAAGAACTCGTAATCTGCGAATAAGGGTTAGCTCATAAACTTCCCCATGCTGCACACGCTTCACCGTTTCCCGCGATACACATGGTTCCCGTGGTGTGCTTTGCGATTTATCGCTTTATCGGTCATTCAAACCTATGGAAAATATCGGTAAAATGGGTTTTCGCGAGGAACATCTTAGTAATCGATTCTTTACCATGGCTTCAAATGAGGAAATATCGATCATCGATCAATCATTCATCCCAGACCCTCGAGCGGATCGACTGATCAAGACGAATTAATCTAATATCTGGGTGGGCGCACCTCGGTATAAATAGGCGCTTACAGTTGTTTCTATTGTCTAATCTATGGCCTTCTACGAATTGCATCGTAAATTCAATGATATATAACTTCCTGATAACAGCGATTTCAATTGGTTTACTCGATCGATCGCTATTTGGGTGATTCAATGTCAAAATTACTAAGCGGAGCTCATTGTTACAGTTGAAAACGAAAGTGTTTCTTAGAACTAAACTTTCTCCGCATTGACATATTTACGAATCGGATAAAATAAATTGTCCTCTTCCTGGAAAAGTATCTTAAGCCTCATTTTTACCGAGAGATTTTAATGGCTTTGCATACTTCTGATACTCTTACAAGAAGAAATAATATTTTTCCATAAATTAAAGTCATTAAATGCTTTGAAAAAACTATTATAGTCGAAAAAAGCGCTTTTACTGAAGAGAAATAGCGACCGACCGCCTTTTTTCGGTTTTTTGTTTCTTTCTCCAGAAGAAAAACAATCTTTTTTATAAGTCCATTCTCATTTCTATCAGAAAAAAAGTTCAAGTCCGGACTTTCGATTGACATAACATTTTCCCTCTTAAAACAGGGTTGCCACAGAATTTAGAAAATAAAATTCCCCGACATTTCCCCGATTTCCCCGACACATTTTGACAAAATTCCCTGACAATTGAAGATGTGACGGATAGTTAAAAAGGCATAATTGAAAATAGTTTTCAGACAAAATTTGTTGTTCGAAACCTCAAACTCATTCTAGAAAGCAAATAAAGGTGATGTAACAAATTTTTCCTGACATTTTCGTCATTTTCCCTGAGGTTTCTCGGTTTTCCCTGACTTTTTAAAATTCCCTCACATTTCCCGGTTTTCCCTGACTGTGGAAACCCTGCATAACTTCTTCCCTCTTCAAATGAACCACTAAATACAAATCATACATGAGTCCATTTTCAACCTTTATTGTAAGATGTCACTAGTCTCAGAGACCTGCTGCATTGAGTCTGTATATATATGTCTTTCTCTGTCGGACCACTCCGTCGGTTCCAACATGAAGAAACGTAACTAAATTTCAATGTTGCCAAATTTCCTTTCGAAAATTGCATCTTTACAAGAAGAATCTTGGGCAAGTCTGACTGAAAATTTCACTGATTTTTCCTCTATTCTTATGTAAAAAGTAGACAAAGTTTGGGCAAAAATTACACAGGTATACTCCTGTAAAATATTGTATTGTTCGAGTCAAATTGACAACCTTGGAATGGAGTTACGTCCCTTCGTCCAGTAAACAACTCGGTCGGAAATTAAGTCTATAAAACACGAGACGAGCTTTTGAAATGAGGCCAAGCTCACGCATGTAACCTTCAATCTCGAAATGAGAGCATGTATCATCTTCAAAGTAAATCTCTTTTACTATACTCGCAAATAGTTGTAAAAACTTAAAACAGTTCAATAATCCAAGCTTCGACGGATAAACCAAAAGTAAATAAATAAAACTGGAAGGTGGGTATATTGCTTGGTATGGTATTTGTAAAGACAAGAGACAGGATAATCCAGAGAATACCCGTCTGCGGCCGATTAGTGAAATTGATAGACAAGGCGATAGGCAAAAAAGACATAGGGAGTATGGAGCTATCCTGTTGGTTGAAATGGGTGATTCCTATAGACTAAGGAGAAAATGATGGACCAACTACTATCGGGTCTCTCGTGGGTTGCTGTTAGTTAGTCTATTATCTGCCTCCTTTGTCCATTGCAACTACCCGCTTCCACCAATAGGATCCCTCCTTATCCTTTTTGTCTCCTTTGTCTACTGCTTTGTCTATCAATTTCAAAAACCGGCTTGCTGTGGTGGATTGATGATGATGGTCGAAAAACATGCAACTCAATTTGTAATGTTGCAAATTTTTTGTAAGGCTTTGTTGTTTCACTGGAAAACTAATTATATTTTTTCTTGGATTTTTTACTGACTCCTCTTTATCCTACATCGAATATACTTTAAAAACCTCACACAAAGACAATGTAACACACTAAACCACTTGAGTTTAGCCAATTCTTAACATTTACAGGGAAATGTTTACCTTTCCTTTCAGTCACAAAACAAAGGCATAGGATATAAATTGTGTAACTAAGCGGCTGCGACTTTGAATTTTCTCTATAAAATCGCGATTTTCTTAGAGGAGGAGGGCGCCATTACGGTAGCAAAAAATCTCAACGTGACCGGTAAAAACTGTTGTCAACTGTTGTTGTTGAATTTATCGCTAGAAATGCATGAGCCCAGCGGGTCATGTATAGAGTTGCATTTATGAACAACAATCTATTAATAGCGCCAGCATACATTACCTTAACCTGTGTTATGAAAGTTGTGGAGGGACGGCACTCATTGCAAAGGGTTGGTGATTATCATACATATGCAACAAGGGAAGAGAGGCATACGTTATTGATCCAAGAAACAGAAGCTTGAAACTAGGTTGAGGAATACTTTAGAAAGGTACCGATGAATATTCATAGCGCGAAAATCATAAATACGTTCTTAAAAATAAGATAAAACATTTATACTAATAACTGAGTGTCCCTATGAATTTGATGACACGTGAAATCTTCAGTGATAATTTTATCATTTTAGCTATACCTTTGTTAAATCTACTAATCTTCATTAGATCTGTCTTTGTTAACCTTGTAACTTTTCTAATCTGTTAACCTTCGTAACTTTTTGTTGACGCCATGTGAGCTTTATGCATTAGGTGCATAGAGAAATTGAGAAGAAACTAGAGTAGGCTACCCATCAATTGTCAAAAAAAGCGATTATTGCTGAAAGGTACTTTCTTAGTTCCATTTTTTAAACGGAGCAATAAAACTGTTCATTATAAAGTTTTCAACTAAGCACTGACCACGTAAAATCTGCGACAAAATCAAACCCTTTTTGTTGCATGGCACTGCAAGCAGGGTGTCTACAGAAATAGCTGGCCAAAAATCAGTACTTTTACGGTAATCTCTCAGTACATTCCCGAGAAACGCAGTGCTTCCTCAACGGAAAAATTTAGTACTTTTTCAGTACCTCCATTTGACGAAATTCTTAAAATTTCAAAAATTTGAATTTCTCTCTGAAATTGCGACAAAAATGCAAATTCCGGACTTGTAGACACCCTGGCAGGCCAAAGGCTAGATGGTGTGTAATCCGATTGAATTGAAGATTCACTTGCAAGATGGCACCTATCCTTGCTAAAACTGATGGGCATCGGAGCGCCAGTCGGTCCCATCCAGTGTTGCCTCTCGGAGCATAAAAACCCGGCAAAGACGACACAAAAGCACGGATTCGGCAGCGCTGGTTCCATTTAAAACAAAATTGACGGAACTCTCGACGGGGATCAGCGAAGAAATTCGAGTGGGCTGTAAAATTTTCCGCCTAAAAAGATAAGCGAGAGCGGCTCCTCGCGGGATCGGATCGGGCGACGGGATGAGTCACAAACGCGCGGCAACCCGAAATATCACCACGCGACCGGCGACCGATCCCGTATCTCCATTTTACGATTTTGGATTCCCCCTTAAAAGTGCTCGGATTACGGCCACCTCATTCAAAGTCTGTGAGTCTTGATTCCGGTCGAGTCTGTGAAAGGGTGAGGAAATTACAGTCGAGGTAAGTCTCAAAACTTCATCCTTCCTCGGAAGATACTTGAGACCGAGTCTGTGAAAAGGGAGCTTCAGGGTTGCCACAGAATTTAGAAAATGAAATTCCCTCACAGTTCCCTGATTTCCATGACACATTTTCGGGAAATTCCCTGACGATTGAGAATGTGACGGATGGTTAAGAGGGCATAATTGAAGATATTTTTCTGACAAAATTTGTTGTTCGAAACCTCAAACCTATTCTAGAAAGCAAATGAAGGTGATCTAACAAATTTTCCCTGACATTTTCGTCATTTTCCCTGACATTTCCTGGTTTTCCCTGAATGTGGCAACCCTGGAGCTTATCTTTAAAAAATTCCCAAAAATGTTCAAAACAATTTCACGAGGTTTTTAAAAATGTCAAGGATCAAGTTCCTTCTGAGGATAAAGGAAGGGGACGCGAAATCTCTTTAGAAGTCTTTGAATTACAGCCTCCGTATTGAGGAGCCTCTGTCTTGCGAGTCTTGATTTCGGTGGAATTTGTGAGAGGGTGAGAAAATTAGTTGAGGTGCATGTTGAAACTTTGCTTGGTGCTATTTCAGAACATACCTATGACCGAATCTGTGAAAAGGGAGTTCATCTTTCAAAAGTTCCCGAAGATTTTCAGACAATTTTAAACATTTTAAAGAAATTTTCAAAAATGGAGATTTTGCAGGTGTCTGAGGTTGTGTAAATTTTATAATTAAGAAGAAACTACTGAGTGAGTTGAGCACGAGAATATATTTGGCTTTTAAATTGAACAAATCTTGGAGGAAATATGAGCGAATTGCCTAATCTGGTAAAATACACGTGTTTAAACGGGAAATGTCGCCTACTCTGCCGTGCTAAGGAGAAACGCCGTATAAAACTTCAGGCGTTGCCAAATTTCCTTTGATAATACACGAATTTCCTGGTAAACATATGAATATTTCCCTTCCAATTTTTCAGATAAAGTTCCACCTAACTTTGTAAAAAACTTAAACTTGTAAACTTGATAAATTTGTTCCACCTAAATTTCCTGAAAATTTACAGGAAAAATATTTATAACTTTCCTCAAAAATGAACATTTTATCGAGGGAAATTTGGCAACTGTCGAATGTTCATACGGCGTTTTTCCTTAGCACGGCAGTACTGAAGTCTTAAGGAAGCAGATTTTCTCACTTTTAAATGCATTTTGCTACAATGCCCCATCAGGAAAAAAGTATGAAAAATACTGCGTTCGCAGCTTGTTTAGCACTCTCAGATGCAGCAATAAAATGTTGTCGAAGGAATCCTGCATTTCAAGGGGACTTGATTAGGTTCCTCCTGGGAGGAGACGAAAGAAGTGCCTGGTGCGAGGATGGCGATGGAGGGTTTGAAATGAGATGAGGGAATGCAACTCCCTAAAGGGCTGTGGGAGGACAGGATCCTGGGGCGGTTAAGTGTCGCTGTGAAAGCGGCTCTCATGTATGTACCTTTCAAAAATGCATAACGTGGAATACGGAGGAAAAATGTCGCTCAAAAATTGAGAAAGATATGAAAATGACGTATAAAATTTCCGAGGCAAGAATTCTTAGTTTGTAGGGAAACGTCCTTTCAAATCCTGCAATTATTTGAAGAAAATTTTACCCCAGAAAATAAGGTCCCTATTCTCAGATCCAGTCATACCTCGACGTGGTTGAAGAAGCAGCGACAGACCACTGGAAGGGTTAGAGTTACAGTACAGCTTGATTTCTTCCTCATCAAAATTTCACACAGTAAAATGTACACATACTAACCAGGTCCGGAATCAACTGATGGTCAAGAAATTAGTTAGTTCAGATTTATTTATGATAAGGCCGTTTTAAATGGAATTGGAAGGATTTTGACCGATACCTAAGGGGAGATAAGGTAGTTAATAATTTTGGTATGTGCCACCCTTATGTAACAAGGTGGAGAAATGGTGCTGGGTCCTCACCATTTCGCGGGGAAATCAAAGCCAAGAAGTTCCAAAAATTATAATTAGAGTCAAAAATAAATCTTTTTAACTCTAATGATTGACCTTCTTAACTTTGATTTCCCCGCGAAATGGTGTGGACCCAGCACCATTTCTCCACCTGGTTACATATAGTATTTGGGCCACTTCTTAGTGTTTTTTTCTCATTTATACCACACTTATTAACTGTCTTATCTCCTTTAAGGCTTTAGTAAAAATCCGTCCAATTTCAAGAAATTAGTATTTCATAATTTACATTATAATCAGTAAATTCACATTTCCCGCTCAAAAAAAACCCCTGAATTTCCAGTAGATTATATAAAATTGGCCTTCAAAAATAAAATTGTCATGTAACAAATTACATGCACTAATGCTGGATTCTGTAAGAATTTCCGTAACACATGAATTTTACCAGATTAAGTAACACTTCTTCAAATGAGTGTTCAATTTAGAAACCAAGGATATTCTCGTACTCAGTTCACTCAGTGGTTTCTTCTTGAACATGAGATGCACACAACTCGGCCAGACACCTGCAAAATCTCCATTTTTTAAAACCTTCTGAAATTTTTCTGGAATAATTTCGGGAACCTTCTGACGGGCATCGATTGCAAAATATTAGGATTTCGGGGTAGGTTTGTGATGTGGGATCACGCGGAAATTAAGGAAAATTAAAGTTTTTTCACGGCTGCAAATTGGTGGCGTTTTTGATTGCAGTTGATTTGTTTGCATTGTCAGTCAGCTCCTTTCCTTGGGAGGCTCAATTTGGTTCACATTGTGATTTAGGGAGATTAAAAGAAGCCCTCAAAATAGGGGCACTATAAAAAAGACAATTTTTGCTCGACTCGAAAAAATTCCGCAGTGTAATTTTGGAAATGGATTCTTGCAAGGGATTACAATGAATGCCCATTACAAAGAGTACAAAATACGGAAGAAAATATAATAGGATGATTTTGACGAATTTTAAGTTGGCGCAAAGCTACCTACATATTTACTAACTCGCAATCTATTTTCTTGTATACGTAAGTGTAGGCCGCTTATACGGCGCGCTAGGGCGCTCTGCGACGCCTACCCGCCACAAGAATCTGTCATAGTAGATCCTCCAGAAGCTGTCATCTCATCTCTTTGTTTTCTTTCGTATTTTTCATTATTTATAGTAGTAGTAGATCATTTTGATTCCTTTCAAGGACTCATCTCCAAAGTTATACTACAGAACTTCACTCGATGTTTGAAAAATTGAACGTATTTATGCTAAAAGGAACTTTGTGCATAGAATTTGCGTGAGCCATAGTTCCTTATAGCATAAATTCGTACAATTGTCCTTTACATGATGCTATAAGGATATTCTTGAACCTCCCACAGTCACGATATAAACCAAATGGATTCTCCTAGGGGAAGCAGCTCTGCCGTGCTAAGGAGAAACGTCGTATGAACATTCGAAAGATGTCAAATTTCCTCTCAGAAAATATTTTTTTTTGAAGAAAGTTATGAATATTCTTCCTTGAAATTTTCAGGAACTTTAGGTGAAATTGCGAACGAAATAATCTGAAAAATTAGAGGAAAAAGATTTTCAAATTTTCCAGGAAATTTCCGATTTACCAAAGAAAATTTGGCAACGCCAGAAGGTTCATACGTTGTTTTTCCTTAGCACGGCAGAGCAATTGAAGGAACGACTATGAATACTACCCTAACTTTCGTCCATGAATATATTCGGCTCGAATGTAATTTAAGTGACACTTGAATACGTGTGCTTGAAATGGGGCATGGTACTCATGATCTGTGTTCTGTCGTACTTGAATCCGCGTTAGAGCAGTCTCAAAAATAGCGGGAATCGGCCGTAGACAGAGAGGCATCGAGAGATACCTGTCTCTTCATGGCGCGTTGCTTATCAGCGAAGAGCTAACATTACATGCGTGCGCACTCTAAAAAAATTAAATTGGCGAGGATGAATGAGGCGTAAACAAACATACGGCGCCACCGTCTGATACGACGAACGATGGTGCTGACGATACGATTGCATGAGTGTTATTCGCCTCGAATTTAAGAATGAGTGTTCGTCTCCATGAGAGGGCCCTCGGCCGATGAAAAAGAATAGTGCAACTTTAAATGGGTCCCGTGCGCGTGAGTTCTTACTAAGAATTTACGCAAGAAGAACAATGCCGGGAAAAATTGGCATAAATATTAATAAGCGAAAGAGTCTAATGCTGCTGTGCTAAGGAGGAACGCCGTATATGAACATTCGAGAGTTGCCAACTTTCCTTTGATGAAATGTTTATTTTTGAGGAAAATGGACCACTAGACAAGGTACGAATTTCAGCATTCTGATACATGTTTCTCAACCAAAATTTCACGTAGAACACAATACGCACAACGAAAATTTCCAAAATCAACTCCTGACGAAGATATTTAATGATTCTTGATGCGTGAATTCAAACCACCCGCTCATGAAAACTCAACGCTCTACGTGATTCACATCGCGCGCTAAATGTTTATCATGACAGTTTCTGCGATGTAAAAATATTCAACTTCAATCTTGACACTTTGGCTCAGCTATAGCAAATTACCAATAGTTTGAACAACACATGGTGGAAAATGAACATTGCTCGATTGAGAAGCTTGCTGAAACCGTTGTAGTGCGCGATTTGACTCACGTAGAGCTTTGAGTTTCTTGTGAGCGGGCAGTTCAAATTCCTCGTTATCAGTGCGAAATAAAAACGTTAATATCTTCGTTAGAAGTTGATTTCGGTAATTTTCGTAGTGTGAATCGTGTTCTACGTGAAATTCTGGTTAAGAAACATGTAGCGGATTGCTTAAATTCGTACCTTGTCTAGTGGTCCATTGTGAATATTTTTCCTTGAAATTTTCAGGAATTTTAGATCAAAAATTCTCTGAAAATGGGAAGACAAATTCATAAGCTTACCAGGGAATTCGTGTTTTATCGAAGAAAATTTGGCTGAAGGTTCATACGGCGTTTTTCCTTAGCACGGCAGAATGGAGCTCCTGCATGTGTGGGGGATTTGCAATTTCAGTATTGATTCTTACGTACAATTTTGCGAGAAACAGGATGGTGCCACTGGTTTTCTCTGAAAGAAACTCCAAAACTCCAAAAAATAACTCTCGAAGAAGAGGCCGTAATGGAGGGGATATCTCACGCTACCCTGATAGACCACCTCCACCTCCATATCAAATCAAACTCTCCATGAGTCCATGCAAAGATAGGGAACAAAAACGTTAGCAGGGTTGCCGGTTTTTCAGTTTTGGAGTCCCCAAAGAAAGTAGCAACACTCATCATGTATTTTGTTCCCTGTTTTTGTATTAAGAATTGGACTTGATTTGTAGGTGAACTCTCGGTATAGCGTTAGGGCAGACCCTCCATCACGGCATCAACTTTGAGAGCTTAAAGTTTTTAAGTTCGTGGTACCGTGAAATTTTGCGTAGGATTCAGTACTTAAATCGCAAATTCCTTACGCATGCAAGAGCTCCAATGTAGGTTTTAAAACATTTTTTTTTAACAAAAATAAATAATAAAAACGAGAAATTGAAAATATCTCACCACTGATTATGGGTCCAAAATTATTACTTGATGGTAAAATCACTCACCTGAAACAGATTATAAAAAATAAGGGTTAATATACGACAAACTATGGAAGAAAAAAATGAATGAAAACCTTGAAACTACTGAACTTTCGACACAAGTAGTAGGGTGAGTCATCGTAATTGGTCTATCGCACATGAGAGGAACAATAATCATGAGTGCATTTTGAAGTGCGAAATGTTCCACTCAAAAATATAGTCGAATAATTGGACGTATATCTATCAAACGGAACTAAGCGCCATAGGGGGAGGACGGAAGAGGGGGGGCTTGGGTTGGCGGATGTTGCGGAACGCGATGCTAGTTCCGTCCCATACTTAATGCTTTACCATGGCCCTATCAGTTTCGTTCGACAGAGCGCGCTATCATGGATTCTAAAAATCTGAAATAAGGAACTCGATTTGGCGCTTAGTTCCGTTTCAATTAGATATATTGTTGAGAAAGAGATTGCATCAGAACAGAAGAAATCGATGCATCAACCTCTTTGGAGCTGCAATCGTCATAGAAGTTGCTGAAGGAATGAAAAACTTACATCCATGTGCGATCAGTCTGGCCGGCATGTTCGTTGCCTGTTGAGCAAAACTGAAAGCGAACATCAGTTGGACGTAATTATGCTAAAAGGAACTGTGTGCATTGGGTTCATGTCTAACATAGTTCATTTTGACATAAATACGTCCAGTTGGACGACGACTAACATTCGGTTGACAAAATCAATCGGAGTTAATGCCCTGTAAAAATTGTCCATGGAATTCCATGGTGTTTACCACGGAAAATTTCCCCACGTGAAATTGGTCACAGAGTGTCTCATGCAGGTTTCCAATATCAATATACCATGGTGTTGTTTCTCTAAGTAATCATAAAACTGTTCTACTCAAAGTTGCTAGTTTTCTTAATACTTATGGTGCTAAGCTGGTGCATGTTTTTTAATAGATGCGTGCTTCCCAGCGAAATTGAAGGCCAACTACAATACCTATAGCCCTGACTTTAGTATGAATTTTGATTTTATCGCCTTAATTTTGGCACACCTACATTTTGGGGCAGTTTTTATCAAAATTTCGATTCTGTCTGTTCCAACTTTCTGAAGGTCTCTCTGCTTATGGAAACTTTCGAAATATAAGAAGAATCAATTCGAACACCTCCGGTGGTTCTTTGCGTTGTTTCCCTAAGTACGGCTTCTACGTCACACTGGGAAAAATGTCGCTTGGACCTAGAGTCCAGACTCTTGAAACCACTGACAAGAAAAAATACTCTTGATTCAATTGGACTTTTTGCTTGAATCAAAAGGAAATCCGCCTAAATCAAGAGGCTCGGCTCTTCGATCCAAGGAAAAATCGAATTGAATCGAGAGTATTTTTTCTTCTTAATGTTATTAAGAGTCTGGTCTCTAGATCCAAGCGACTTTTTTTCCAGTGATCGAAATAATCGAGCACATCGTGGCTACGTACACCTAGTCTAAAGTCAGTCGGTTCCACTTATTCCTCGTTGTTAACATTTTTTTAAGTGGATCAGCGCGGTTAGAGTGTATCAGGTAAACTAATAGCTGTTGAGATTATTATTACAAAACGAGCGGCTGTCATTTTTCAGATGCTGCGAGGAGTTTTCTCATTGGTGCTGCTGGTGGCTTGCTTCCCAGAGGACTCGACAGCAGGCAGTGATTATGGCAGCTCTGTCCCTGGATTCAACTTCGCGCGGACTTACTTCCCCAGGGTAGCTCTGAGCGCTAACAGCGGACAGTTTCAGAGCTACCAAGGTCTGCGGAACATTACTGCTTGGCGGCCGAAATTTGGCAAAGGTTAGTTACCCAACCAGGCAGGATTCATCAAAAATAAATTCACTTGTGTTTTCACAAAATGTTCAGCCAGAATGATTTTATTTATTTTCCTTTACGCAATTCTTCGGCCAGTTCCGAATAAACTAAGAGGGGGTAATTCCTTTCATGCGTTTGTTCAGTAATTTGTAATTGTTGCATTTTTGAAAACTAGAGAGTGCACATAGCTCACTGGAATTTTCTTCGATTTTTTTGAACAACAATAAACCACGAAATACGAGTTCAAAGTTCGTATTTTGAGCTCCCATCTAAATGCGCGCCGCTCTGGTTATCCAAGATGGCGTCCATACTATCCGTCCGGCGATGACCACACTTTTGACCTCGCGTGCCGACGAGGTACCTCTGCCATGGACCAAGAGAATGATTGATTCTGAATCACCAGGCTTCTGGCAATCCTATATAATAAATTATTCTCTTGGTCAAAAGTGAGGGCAATCGTCGGACGGATAGAATGGACGCCATTTTTGATACCCCAAGCGACGCGCGATTTAATGGGAGCTCGAAATACGGAGCTTGGAACTCGTACTTCGTGGGAGAAAATGAAGTATGACAGGAGGTCGCAACGTCGCAAACGGAGATATCTGCTTTCACACTTTGGCCATGGACATCTCGTAGTGGTTAACTCCTTGACATGTCTAGAAGGGTCAATACGACCGAAGTTCGTCCCTTTGGCGAAGCTACTGCGGCCTTTTCAGGGCGCGACGTTCCCACC